GCCCCCCCCCCCCCTCTCACCCATACATGATAAATGTTTTGCCCCTGGATTCTACGTTTTAATCTAACCCCACTGCACTACACAGATTGGAAGGAATTGGCGGTTGCTGGACAATATAAATTTTCTTGATTATAATTATCAGGATGATCCAATGTGTGATGGTATGGTGTGTAAATGGACTGAGGAGGAAGAAGAAGATTACTACAACTAAAGCATGAGTATCCTGATTATGAGAATATTTAAAAAAAAAATGAAAATACTGACAACTATTATTCAATAGATTAACTGTTTGGAAAGAAACATAACAGAAAGTATTATAAAACTCACGCCATGAAAAATCATTATTAATACAATGAAGTTTCATTGATTTTATTAGACTATTAATTTATAAATCAGCCAACAAACAATGTACTAAAATAACCCATATGTGCCAATGTTGGTGCTATGGAAACGCCTCACCACGGAAATGCCTAAAAAACGAACTCATAAAACTTCATTAAAGTCGTCTCTCAGCACTCGGCCCCCATCCTGACCTAGCCGAAGCGCACAACCTGCTAGCCTGTTCTAGCTGCAGCGGGTAGATCCCTAGTCCGTCTTAGCCGCAGCGCTTGACCCCATCCACAGCCTGCCGTGAAACCTTCCCTATCCTAAATTAATGCTATAAATAATTTAGTATTTTTTTAATGAGAGAAGACAATATTACACTAGTTTTATGAGTCTGTTTTTTTTTGAGGCATTTCCTTGGTAAGACGTTTCCGTGATAATGCGTTTCCATAGCACCCCGATGTTTAATTATCATTTAGCCATCAGATTATATTTATAAGCATATATTTTTGTAGAATTAAAATATTTATGTATACTTTAATGAATTTTATATGAAAAAATGTATAATTTAAAATAAATTTAAGTCAAAGTGTCACTCAAGGATTTTCTGTTAAATATTTAGATATGAAAGGAGAAGAATATAAACTAGTTTAAACACGCAGTATTAAGCTTGTTTTTACTTCTTTGCTGAAACAATAAACATATCTGAACTCCTGAGGTGATGTTGATGCGTGCATTCATTATTTACAAAGGTTATTTTTTTAAAGGGACTGTAAAGGAAAAATGAAAGGGGGTATAGGCTGAAAGCTAATCCCTTTAGCTCTTGATCGCGACCCATGAAAGTTTTATCTGATGTTCCTGTCTCTAGAAATTGATATAAAACTGTGTTAAAATTATACGAAAGTTCATATATGTAAAATTTAGAAAATCTTAAACTTAAATCACGTGACCAGAACTATCACCAATTGCAGAGCAGTATACTGGTCACGTGTCTCCGCCTGCATCACGTGACCACTTTACTGCACTGCCATCATGGTGGAATTTCTGGTCAAGTAATACGGACGTATAAATAATATTATGAATTAAATCTATTAAAAATAATAAATAACAAATATAAAATTAGAATTAGAGTAAACCTAAGTTACAATTAGCTTTCTCTGGGATATCATCGTTTTCAGATTGGTTGCCTATTTGCTGAATTTAATCTATTCAAACCCTCTACTTTTATACAAAATTGTATATTTATTAATTTTCGTATAAATTTGACACAGTTGTAAATCAATTTCTCGAGTTAGGAACATCAGATATAACTTTCATGGGTCGCGATCGAGAGCTTAAGTGATAAGCTTTCAGCCTATACCCCCTTTCATTTTTCCTTTACAGTCCCTTTAAGGGGTGATTATTTTTTACAGTACCCTAGTAGAAAGTAATATGAATCGTGTGACACTTTAAATGTATTAAATTCATTAAAAACGCACAAATTGAGCAGAAATTAGTCAGCTAAAATTCTTCAATAGGTTTCTTTAAGTGTTCAGAGGTTGTTAAATTTGAATTTAAAAAAAAAAAAAACATTGTTATGTCTTGAAATATAAACCGATATATTTTTAAAGGTATTGAATGTAAAAATCAATAAAATTTACAAAATTAATGATTAATGTAATGATAATTGTCTTCTATTAAATAGAAGCCAGATGTAAATCCTAGGGATTTTATCAATAAATTCTTCTCATGGTTTAGGGTTTATGCAAATATTTCACTCTAGATCCCCGTATTCTCGTTTAAATATCAATTCCTTTAACAACCTCTTTATACATTTCTCTCAGAGTATAAATGAATTTGGATTGATCAGTTTCATAGTTTATTCATTAAATCTGTAACGTTTATTCATGTTTCCATAAGTTCCTTAAGATATTCAGCTGCTACAGTTCAGAATCTGTCTGAGCAGCTTCCTCTATTACTCTATCTCGTTCCGCTGCTCTTAGAGTCTCTGTTATCCTGGCTGCTCTTACAATCTGGGATGCTCTTAATGTGTTTCCAGCTGCTTCTATAACTACTGGAGCTGTTTTTTGGTCCACGTTATGTTAGCCTTTCTTAGGAACTGAGCTGCTTCCTAGAGTATCTGCTATGTTAGCCTTACTTACAGTTTGAGCTGCTCCCAGAGCTATTCCCAGAGTCTCTGCTATGCTAGCCTTACTTACAGTTCGAGCTGCTCCGAGAGCTATTCCCAGAGTATCTGCTATGCTAGCCTTACTTATAGTTCGAGCTGCTACCAGAGCTATCCCTAGAGTCTATGCTATGCTAATAATAAGGCTAGATAATTTCTGATAAACAGTTTGAATATGAAAAACTGAAATATTCAATACTAGGCTTTAATTCCATTTTATTTGCAAACATTTTATCTTTAAACATTATAAAACAACAACAAAATAATTGGCGGATTAAAAAAAAAATTTATTGATTTTCAAAATTTTCAAAAATCGAATTTTATTCGAAGCAAATTTTTGTAAATTTGGTCATCCATATACCTTCCCTGAGATCACGTGAGGTCCCACAAAAAAAACTGGGCCCCATTGGTTTAGCCGTTTTGACGTTTATTCGATACAAACAAACAGAAAAACAGACAAGTAAAGTATATATAAGATTCAATTTTGTATTGTAAAAACTGAAATATAAGCAATTCCTCTCTGATTATCAAAAGCTCTTATTTTTTGAAATGCTGGTGCAAACACATAAATCTTCTAATAAATTTGGTAAAATGTTATTATGTGGAGGAAGAGAGTAGAATTATGGAAATAATTCTATTTTTTTTTCTCTCTAAATAATATGAAAATCATTCAAACTATCCTCCACATCCCCCTCCTCCTCCGCCACACCCACCGCCTCCACAACCTCCTCCACCCCCACAACCTCCTCCACCTCCACCTCCATCCCCTCCTCCACCACCTCCTCCACCACCTCCATCTCCACCGCCTCCTCCGCCCCATCCTCCGCCGCCTCCACCACCACATCCTCCACAGCCTCCCCATCCTCCATCACCACCATCCATACCATCACCACCTTCCCCACTGAAGCCACCATCCCATCCGGCATCCCCACCAATCCATCCACCATCTTCAACACCAAAATCTCCTAGTGAAGGTACATCAAACCCTCCATCCAATTCACCTTAAAAAAAACAAGAAATAATCAAGTTCATGGATTCAAATTTTACTTTTTAGCTTGTACTGGTTAGATTTTGATGTATCCAACATATATATTTGTTTAAACTCCTTTTTTGAAATAAATCCTTAATAATGGGTAAAATTTTTTTTAATATAACCAGTTAATACATGCAGACCAATAACACTGTAGAATATGAAAACAAGACTCAAGTTTTAACTTTCACAAGGCAAATCCACCTTTTTAATAAGTTGAGTTTCACGTTAGCATGATAAAATTAAACCATACTTTATATCAACATCTAGTACATAAATAAACATTCCTTAAATGTCTTCTTCCATTTCCGCAGTTTTAATGGTCTCACTGTATGTTTGTTGACAGTGTAAATGGTTATTTTAATTTAATCATTTTTGAATCCTACAAGTAATGATGGTGTAATAAAACTGAGAGCAGAAGTTTTATTTAAAGTGCCATCCAGAAAACAGTGGAATGATTGGAATCTCCTTTCACTTTTTACTATGCAATTAATTTATAAAAATTTCCTTGCAAAGGAATTGAGTTTTTGCCACAAACTCTGATTTTCTAATTTCAATATCATTGCAACCCCATGTTGTAGACCTTTAATATTTCAAACTATGAATGCTGTTAGATCAAATAATGTAAGTTTGAAATATCAAAGGTGAAATCATCTGGTTGCAAAGAGTTAAGGATTAAAAAAAATTGAATTTGTGACAAAGACTCAATTCCTTAGATAACCTTGGGCAACATCTGTTAAAGAAAAAAAATAATTCCCCTGTTTTCTAATTATCACTAAAAAACTGGAGAAGAAAAAAGTATTAGAAGAAAAAAATATTTAAAGATAAAGAGATACATTTAAAAATGAGAAGGAGATATTTGAAGAATTTAATGTGGGGTAAATAACGATAAAGTTGTAAATTATGGAGGGTTTAGAAACATGCTTATGAATATGTAATGGAAAATAAATTGAGTTCACTTTCAAACTTCAAGAACAGAAGAAAAAAGGAATAGAAGAGATATTTACTTTAATCATAAAAGTAACTTTCAGAAAAATGCTTTATCTAAAAAATGGGGGNAGTGGCAACTTATTCATCTGAAATAAATGTCTAAACAGCTTTACCGATCGGAACCAAACTTTTTGTGGTAACCCACATGACCCAGACAAAGGTCGAAGTCGAAAAATTGTCCTGGAAAAAATGATTTTTAAATTTGCATTTTACAATTAAGAAGAAAAATTTCGGCTTTAAGAAGAAAAAAGTTAAAAGCTGAAATTGTTACTAGAAAAATCGAAGCCTTGTATCTTGTTATATATTATGCTTGTCTGTCTGTTTGAATCCATTTAACGTCAAACCCGCTAAACCGATTGGTCCAAAATTTGATAAGGAATCTGTAATAGGAGACCGATGGGAAAAAGGAAATTGAAAAGCAATTGTTTCTTAAAAAGGAGCGTAATTTTTCATTTATTTAGGTTTTTAGGATAGTAATAAATAAGCAAACAAAAAACATTATTAATATTTTACCGTCTCCATTCTCCTGTACAGGAAGCCAGGCTCCACCACCATTAAAACCATAACCCCAACAACCAGCCATAATCAGACCACCACTGCACCCGGATCTATTAAAAACATATTCAACCGAGAACTTTAAAAAATCGTTTTGCAATTCAGGTAACAACATGGAAGTAAACGTAGTCTTCTTTGAAGTTTGACTGGTGGATCCAACCTATGAGTCAGTTTGTTAAAATTAAATTATATATTTTTTTCTTCTAAAAATGTCTCATGTAATTAGCATAAAATTATTTTCTAACAGCTTTAATTCTTACGATAAAACAAGTAGTGTCCCTAATCCACAAAACTGTTGTATAAAGAGTACTTTGACATAGGCGAGAAATCCCTTTATATAGAATTATTAACAAGTTTAAATAAGTTTAAAGGTTAAATTACATGTGTTAACTTTTCAGGAAAAAAATTATATGCTTTAGTGATTTAATTAATCCATGATTTAAAAGAGAGATTTACCTTTTTTTCTGTTTTGCCAAGTTTCGGTTTGAGGGAATTTTTCGTCTCTCTGTCCAGCCTACAACAATATATGCAGGGTGTCCCAAAAAACATGGGAATTCAGTGACGAATTCGATATCGTCTTTGTTATGAATTAGCATTGTAATACCTAATTTCAAAAGCTATAATATTATTTTGTCTACTAGAGTTAATTTTATGAAAAGGGTAAAAGACTGTAAAGATGTGTCTAATAATGTCTTCGCAAGATAAACAGTGAAGACGGACAAGTTTACTCTGTTTGTATACTGTAATTTTCTTGTTTTACTCAGTACAACCGTATGCCGTCAAAACATAAACAAACAAAATGTGAACAAAGCAGACGAAACTCTTGCAGATTACAGCTTTCTCAGTAGGTATCACTATACTAGATCAAAGAATTATTTGAAACGACGATATCGAATTCTACACTGAATTTCCATGTTTATTGGGACACCCTGTATATACTGTATAAGGTTCTTGTAATGTTAAATTATATGACATTTATTGGTAGCTGCAAAGCATGTAAACTTCTTCTTTATTTACAAAATCATTTAGTTTGTAGATGCAGTAAAATTTACGGTAAAAATTTGTATTCAGCCTTCAGATCATTCAATTTAAAGAGTATTGACATGAATTTATGTTAAATATTAATTTGCTAAGATATTTTCATTTCTAGGAAAACTAGTATTCCTATCTGAAATGCACTCTGAATATTGAAGAATAGGTTTGCAGATATCAAATATTTAAAATGCGAGATAGAGGGAGTCATCTTACAGAATTAGGTTTCCAAAAAAATATATCTGTAAAAATGATTTGTTTATTTATAAAATTTTTAAGAATTTGAAAAAAAATTTACCAGCTAAAAGAAGCAGTTTTAGCATTCCATTGTCCAGGAATGGTGGTTTAACAGCCTTAACTCGTTTAGGTTTCTTGTCCCACTGAAGAAGAACACAGAAATCATTAAATAATGGTTATACATTTCTTTGTTGAAACCAAATTATATTCCAAATTTACAAAAATCAAATCAAATCATTTGATTAAAATGCTCAACATTAATGAACATGAAAGCTAGGTGTATTACACATACTGCTGTTGTTTGTTTGTATGACTACATTAAAATTTTTAATCGACATAACTCTCATAATATTTATAAAACAAAGATTTTGACAAAGAGTATCAAAAATATTTTTATTTATTCATTGAAAAAAAGGGACGTTGGACTAAAGTCAAGATAGTTTTTAAATTTTATTATTCCAAATTTCGTATAAAGTCTAAACGAATACTTTTAAAAAACTGAAAATCTAACTTAATATTTTCTATTTTAAATCGGAATTGTACATACATGTGTGATGCTAAAAATGTATTGGTAGTTAACAAGAAGAAGAAAGGAAACTACACATAATAGATTAAATAAAAGTATTAAAATAAAGCTCCAGGAAACTAAGTAGTTTGAAGTAGCTCTAAATTAAGGTTAGAGCCTGGAAAAAGAACCCGATGTGACAGAATAAAAGGAAGAAAAGAAAATTTGGAATTTAGTTTTAAATACACCCACAGTTCCATTTTCCTATTAGATCGACAAACATTTTTCTTTCACAACAAACAGATTACTTCTCTCAGTATCTTTAATTGATTCTCATGCTTTTCCCGATATTTACTTTTGATAATCATATACTTCATTAAACTCTATTTCCGGGGCTAAGGAGTTGAGTTTTTGGCGCAAACTCTTATTTTCTAATCTCTATATCTCTGTAATCCAATGTCGTAGACCTTAGATATTTCAAACTATTAATACTTATAAATTAAATAGTCTAAGTTTGAAATATCAAAGTTTTGCACCATAAGATTACAAAGATATTGGAATCAGAAGATTTTAGTTTGTGGCAAAAACTCAATTCCTTTGTGGACTTCCTGTGAGGCTAGTTTGGGCGCACTAAAGATTACAATAAATTGAATCCGTCGGAGGAAATGTTTAGATGCATGTATTGATATATACCAAACGTTTATGTGAGACAATTTTTAGATTTTAACGAGTCTAAATGTAATGAAAAGGTTTGAGATTCATTAAGATTTGCTACATGGGAAGACTGGGCGGAGAGGGGGGAGGGATAGTAAACTAACCTGAGCTTTAACTTTATGAATATCATCAGGTACGGGTTGTACAAGTAGATAAAGTGTACTGGCAGCAAACCCCAGACATATCTTTTCCAGTAACTTTGTCTCACCCTGAGAAAAACGCATGTAAAAATGACTTTTTTCTTTATAAAATTGGAGAAAAATAAAGAACAAGGGTTTACGCAGAATGTTTAATAATTAGAATCTTTCGTTCTTTAATAGATTTACATATATCAAGCAATTTTTACATGCACGTAAGAGTGTGTTTTTCATATTTTATAGATTTTTTTTGAACTTTTTAAGTTTTAAAAACCATAATAAATATTTCATGGCTTTAACGCATTACAAGAACAATGAAACTAAACTAGAAGGGGTTTACAACAAAATAAAACGATTTATGTTTTAAAACGGAAAACAAAATAAAAACAGGTTTAGTTCAAAAACCGAAAATTAATAAAAAAGTTTTTATTTTTATTTTTTCATTAATCAATAATCATTTTGAAATTTAAAATTTCTTTATTTTTATAAACTCGGTTTACAAATCGGTTCAAATATTATAAAACATTTTATGAAAAAATAACAAAATAAACCATCCCTACTTTGGAGTAATAAACGGATATCTTGACACAAAATGAAGTCTTCAACGTCCAATTTAATAATTTAACAACATTTACTTCAACTTTTCAAAGAGTTCCTATTGCATATTAGACGGCAGATTAATGTGCCAAGTGTTAATGACCCACCGCTTTTGCTTCAAAGACTCCACTGCTTAAATTAACAACAAACTTCTCGTAAGAAAACCTGAAATAACATTTACAAATATTTCAATCTAATATCATTTTAAGTAATAAATTTAAATAAAAAATTAAATTTTTATATAACCATAATACCTGTATAACTTTACAACATTTGAAGGCATTTGAAATGACGTCTGAGAATTACTCCTGAAGTTTGTAAAGACTTTAACATTTATTGCGTAGAGAAATAATTAAAGTATAAAAAAAGTCTTATCTTTGACAATATTCCTTACTTTCTATTTATGACAATAATCCTTTATTCTATTATATTATTGAACGTATCATAGTTACGTCGAGTATGACCCCAAGGAGGACAATTAATAGCTGTGATAGTTATATTTTTCTTTACAAATTATTAATTTTTGCTTTCATTGAATGAGAAAAAATGCTATTAAGACTTTAAATCTTTGTGAACAGAAAGCATGGCCCTTCAGTTATAGAAATTAACGACTGAAAATAATTCTTTAAATATTTTTAAAATAATCGGTAAGGATTAACTTATTTAAACATGTACTTAGAAATCTTTTATTTTATTTTATGATGACAGTAAGTCTGTCTGGAAGAAAATGCTCACATAATGAATCTTATATTTCATTTTATGTTATTATTATCATAAATGGACAACCGTACAGTCCATGAGTTGAAACTGATTTGAATATTTCCCTTGAAATTTCATTTGATCATCAACGGTGGAGAAATATGCGTTTTTCTGCTTTAGCATGCTGTGATAATTAAACCAGAAAACTGATTATTGTAAATCTTCCTTTAAAATCCCAAATATTTGATGTTCAGCATAGATATGTACGATTTAAAATAAAAATATTATTTTCAGTTACTCACGGAAAATAGAAAATTAAATTTTAAGTCATCAACAATTTCACGCTTTTCTGAGAAAAAAAAATTATTATTGAAGGCCAACCACAACAATTTCTCGTCCGAGCCACATTCTCCTCATTTTCTCGTCCGAGCTACCTCGAAATCCTTGTCCTTTCAATATTATTTTTTTAAGTGTCTAATCCTCCCAGATAATACTATTTTTAAAGAATCAGGCCACGTTACGGCATAAATGAAATATAAAATTTTTGTAAATCGAAAAAAAGTTTTGATTGAATTAAAGATTTCAAGCTAATTGTCTTTAAAATGTTCACCTTTTTTACGCGCATTTTCAGATATTCCTGTTGAAGAATGCCACAAATAATTAAATCGAAAAAAAGTTTTGATTGAATTAAAGATTTCAAGCTTAATGTCTTTAAAAATGTTCACCTTTTTTACGCGCATTTTCAGATATTCCTGATGTAGAATGCCACAAATAATTCCGAGTTAATAAAACTTCAATTTTTTTTGTAAACTAGTGAAAACCACAGATTATAGGCAGAGGCAGAGGGAAATTATAGGCAGAGGTATGCCAAATATTTTGCTATTTATTTATATCTCGAAGGTTAGCCATTACGGAGGCAGAAGAGATTTGAGTTTTACCTATATAAAGTTTGACATCATTCTCATGGGTTTGAAGATTCTAACATGATATAATCATTGCAATACTTTGATCCATCCATATTTTATGCCCTAACGTGGGCAGATTAAAAAAAATAGTTTTATCTTCAAGAATTGGAAACCTTTTAACACAAAATAATCGAAGGACGAGAATTCCGAGGTGGCTCGGACGAGGAGAATGTGGCTCGGACGAGAAATTGTTGAGGCTTGCCTTCCTCTCCTCAATGAAGAGACACATTAAATTTATTCTTATTTAACATCAACCGTCAACACCACTCGACTAGACTTTTCCCCATCTTTGAATCCTAGAGTAATAAAACGAAGAGGTGAAGCTTAGCTCAGATGTACACAACCGACCTGTCTATTTATTAATTAATAGACAGGTCGGTTGTGTACATCACGATATGTTTACGTATCTAACGCTGTAAACTTGTATATAGAGCGATCGTATTTCTAAAGGGGGATTTTATGGAATTGACCAATTTTTAGATTTTCTTTCTTTATTTAAAGAGAATTCGAGGATGTTGACTGCAAACATTTGACAATTTTCAAATTTGTAGGTTTTCAATTTATTAGCTAAAAGTTTTGTCAAAAATATTAAGTTTCTAGGGCATGAATTTAACTTAAACAATAAAAAATGTTTGAAATATCAAACATTTTTTATTGTTTCTTCTCTTCAACTCTTTATCATAAACATGATAGTGTATGCAGGGTTACCCACAAAGATGAAACAGCGATGATGACCTGGAGCTCCTAACCCTAAACAGANATAGAAATTTAAAGGATTTTTAGGTAATTTTGTTATGCCTAAGGTAGGTTGCTGGGCGATAAAAAACCAGAGTATGTAAAAAATCTTAAATAGCCCATAACTTTTTTATGACTAAAGCTACAGATCTGAAAACTGTAGTTTTGAAAAGCCCTTGAAAATGGGTGTAGAAACGTGTGTCACACTTTGATATTTGTTTTAAACAAAAATTATTTTTTACATTTTTTCGACCTAATATATCTAATTATCAATACTAATATTCAAAAATCTACATTAAACCACTCCTTAGAAATACGATCGCTCTATACAGTGTTAGATACGTAAACATATCGTGATGTACACAACCGACCTGTCTATTAATTAATTAATAAACAGGTCGGTTGTGTACATTTGAGCTATCTTCACCTCTTCGTTTTATTACTCTATGCTTTGAATATTATTTGTTGACTGTTGTCTAGTTTTCATACCTAAGATCTAGGTAGTGGAACTTGCAGAACCCAGGGTCTCCAGGTATCCCAGGTATTCCTTTTCTAATAATAAAATAATAATATAATTATCATATTTAGAAATAGAGGGTCAAACTTAAACGCTTTTGAGTTTTGGTTGCTCAGGAATGTAATAGATTGCGTCTATTGTGAAGAGTGAAGAATTGCTGAACATCATTCAATATATTTTTAGGATGGAATATTGGAAACGAGGAGGAATTTTAAACTGTTATGATAAAAGATCTTTCTTCTATAAAGTTTTCCTTGATTGTGACGATTTTAATAAATATCTGGTAATCTATCTTTTTTTTATGTTGAAAATATTTCATTACTTGATTACATCAGTCTCATTAAAACCTAAATTTTATAAAGCTGTTATAAAAAAATATAGTTTTTTTAGCTAAAAATTGAAAATCTACCATCGAAACTTTTCCAGAAAGCAATTCCAACATTTTTACTCTACAGACAAGCAACATCGCATAAACTATTATTTATGCAGCACACTGTTAGGTTTTAGTTTGAATTCACAATACTTTATTATTTGTCTAATTAATATTTCAAACTTACTGGCGTCCTTTAGGTGGAACTCCTTTAACACCCTTGATTATCCCTACCCAGCCAGCCACAAGGATACCAACATCCCCATCATTGTCCTTCAGCACCATAGCTCGCCAAGCTGTTTTCTTAAACTACATATTAAGTTTTTAATAATTTAGAGTTCTTGATTTGTATGGTTCTACATTTATATCACGTCTGTAATTTCATGTATACAATCTGTTGTCGCTGTTCGATAATGATATACATTTTAGACTGAGAAAAGGAACAAAGCAAACCATCAATTTCTTAACGTGTTTATAACGAATGAGTTTTGGAAGAGAAACAGCGCATTTTTAAATGTAATGTATATTATTAACATGTTAAAAAATCTGTGATGTGGTACCAGCTTAAAAAATGGAAAAATGCTCTTCCTTATAGAAAAGAATAATTCTTATAATTTATAAAAACTCGCTGCTTTCTGTATTTTGTCTTTAATAAAACGTACCTCTTGATCTAGCTTCATAGTTTGTAGCAAAGGACCTATAGTTGCAGCTCCTACTGTATGTCCAACTATTGTCATCTGATCACCAACAAAAACCTAAAAAATATGCTTTTGGGACGTCAATATAATATCTTTTAAAAGTTTGTAAAGCTTGATGAAGGTTCCCAAATATTGTGACTTTTCCTAGACGATTTTAAATGTCTTGTTGCAACAAATCAATAGTTTTTCTTTTAGGCCATAACATTTAATGGTTAGAACTAAAACCATAAATTTACTTGTCTTTACAATAAAAGGTATAATCCCTTTAGCTTTTCAAGGAAAAAGTTAAATTTGATTGGTGTTTTTTTTCAAAATATTTTGGTAACATGCGAATTTTTACAACGTTATGCAATCCTTATGCAAACCTTAACACTAACAGTAAAATCTAAATAAAACCTGTACAGCCGATAGTCCCAAAGGTAGGGAGTGTATGATGAAAACTGACATCTTAGAGAACTCTTCATCAAACTTAATTAACCTAAAGAATTTGCTGTTCAAGTTGCACATTTTTTAAATTCTATAAATTCCACTTTGACAATTAGTTTAAAATTTTCTAAAATTTTGAGGATTTAAAAAAATGTACTGCTAAGGTATAAGCGGTTATATTTTCAAAAGGATTTGAGTCTTTACCACAAACTCAAATCTAATTCATATATCTTTGCAATCTTATTATGTGAACCTTTTATATTTTAAGCGTAGACTAGTTCATCTATTTAAATTCAGAGTTTGAAATATCTAAGGTCTACGTTATTGGGTTGCAACGATATTGGGATTAGAAAATCAGAGTTTGTGGCAAAGACTCAATTCCTTTAGATAAACAGAATACCTGTGGGTGACAGCTCGACAAGTGTTGTCTATTCCCTGGGGTAAAATTTCTAAAAGAAAAATTCATAAATACAGGGTTCCTGAAATATGCGACTACATTAAAATCGTCTTCACTTTAATGCTAATTGAAGAATTGCATACATGGAAAAGTTATAGTTTTGTATTCCAACTAGGGATGGGCAATAGTCAGATTCCTTTTACTGAAACTTTAAATGTTTTTAGACTTTTTAACGGTTTTACGACAATATAAGAAGGTTCAAACTTTTTAAAATGTATTTTGTAGAAGTTTGCGTTCATAAAACATACAAATTTGTTATCCTAGGTGAAAATGTAAGGCAAGAACGATCGTTTCAGAACTATAGTTTTCAGGTTTTTAAAACGTTAGTTTTTGGTTCGTTTTTGCCTCATATTTTCACCTAGGAGAACAAATTTCATGTTTGTTATTAACAAACTTCTACAGAATACAATTTTAAATTGTTGGAGCCTTCTCAGATTGTCGTAAAAACTTTTAAAAGTTAAAAAATATTAAAAGTTTCTGTAAACGAATCTAGCTAATGCCCATTGCTTATTCCAAAGAAATAATCTGAGACAAAATCTTAAATATCTGGTAAATAATTAATTTACAAACCCTCTCTACTGTCTACTTTAAACTAGTAATACCTGACTTATTGTAAACTTTCAACACCTAATAATATTCATCATATTGTAAACGTATAATTATGCGGGAATAATACCCAATACAGCGAATGCTATTCTCCACCTAATTGCTATTACAATATATATAATTGGTTGCACATTTTTGCCTGTAATATTTCAACTTTTATGTTTATTTTTAGCAATAAATATCTCATCTTATCTATCTTACCCAATGGAATAGGACCCCATAGTTCTTCAATAGTTTCAGGAATTATACAATCGTAAAAAGCTCCAGCTTCCACTCCAAACCATGTGTCAACAGGTAATCTAAAACAATTGTTTATTGCATAAATCAAACTTACAGAAAAAAATTTTACCTGCTCATTTGCAATAAGGACAAATTGCAACGGAGGATAATACCCGGACCATCTGGATACGTAAACCTAAAAATTATAATAGAGATCTGAAATAACTTCAGACAGGCTTCAAGCTTGTAACATTTTTTTCATAAAGAAAAGTCCTGAAAACTCAACTCATCATTAAAAAGAAAAGGATTGTTAACCTTTTTCAAATCATAATAAAAAATATTATTAATTTTCAGGATTCTTGTCGTTTCGAAACCCAGTTGTCTTAAAATAATGTCGGCACAAATTTGTAGTTTATGCCAAATCAACCCTTTTCAGAGATTGTAAAATAAGTTGAGTTTAACTTTATTTTAGAAGAGGTTTAAGTAAAGAAAATGATACCTTGTACATTTATCACCCGCAGTTTCAAGCTCTTTATTACAAGAAACCGAGCTAGAATTTATTGTTTTCATTCTTGTCCCCAGAGACAAGCAGCATAACGGTCTTTCTGGGGATTCCAGTTTCAATCTAATGAGAAAGAGTTGTAGGTTAGTTATTTTTAGATTGACAAAAGGGCTTTCATCCATTGAAATTGGGTTAGATTAGTTGTAATTTTCTTTAATAAATATTTGTCTGTATTTTTGAATTAGACAATTATAAATTACATTTATCTTAAAATTGCTTGTTGCTTAAAATCATAACACTGGTGCACTTTTTAGATGTTTCTCCAACCTAAATCGTAAGAGTGGAATCCAGAATTTGCAGACTCTTATTGTAACATTAGATTGTAGAATAGGTTGAAGATCTCCTGGATCACCTCCATTTTTGAAAGCATAACTCCCAACTGCACATAAAGATTAAAATTATTCATACGTTGGAAGAAAAAGAAATGTAGAAAAGTTACACAAACACTCTTAGAAATTTCAATTTTTCTAACAAAATGTATTGGAGCACTGGCATCAATTTCACATCAATTTCAACCAAATTTGAAGAATGATTCTGCTAAGGTGAATTTGAAGCAGAGTGCCGGTGCTCCAACAAATTTTATTACATGAAAATTAAACATTTCTTTGAGTAAATAACAATTGCTTCAAAAGAAGTGTCTGTAAAACTAACCAGCTTCTAATCTATATAAAATATTCACCGAATAAACGAAAAGAAAAATTATCAATCAATCGCCAAAGCCAAAAATTCGTGAAAGTAGTCTTAACGCGTGCCTGCGAACCCAATTAAATTAAAGTTGGGGGCTCAAGGACTATGAGAATTCCAAAATAGTACTGATTGTTTTCTCCAACCAAACATTGGTTCATTTAAACCTCAGTTTGCATTTTTTCGCGAAAAATAAAAAAACTTACTGACCAGATTTTTCATCAGAATAATTACCAGGTTCACGCCTGCCAACGATAAAAATGAACATTTTTAAAACATAGAGTTATAACTAATAAATAATTAAGAGGCATAAATCAAATTTAAAGGATTAAGAACAAATCTGTAAAAGATTATATATTTTATGAAATATTCATGTTTCCTATTTTTCAAGAGCAATGTTGCTGACTTCAACACGTAATCCTCGTACTTAGAATCTTCTAATTGACAACTAAAACAATGTAATCTGAAAGTGATCTATAGATGCACTCCCCCCCCCCCTACGGCCCCCCGAGACACTATACAGTATATACATTCACCAGCCCAAAGGAAAAGTGTCCCATAACCGTACCACTGCACTGTACATGTCTATCTTTTTGGTTTTTTGTTTGTTTGCTTGTATGTCCCGAAAGTCCGAAAGCAATTTACCGATTTGCCTGAAATATGTATTGGGAACTCGGTTAAACCACAGGAATGTTCTCAGCTTAGTAGGTATAAATTCAAAGTCGGTTGAATTTTATTTGAAAAGTTGGTATCGGTACAAAGGTCGGACAGTACAAACCTATGACTTACAAACGTCGGACCAGGAGAAACGTCGGACTAGAACAAACGTTGGACTGGTACAAACGTCGGACAATACACACGTCGGACAGTACAAACGTCAGACCAGCACAAACGTCGGACTAATACAAACGTGGGACAGTACAAACCTAAGACTTACAAACGTCGGGCCAGGACAAACGTCGAACTAGTACAAACGTCAGACCAGTACAAACGTCAGACCAGGACTAAGTAAGAAAAATTATTTGAATTTCAAAAATTTTAAAAAAAAGTTATTTTCTTTTATCGACTGGTCCAATAACAATCTACCCTAAGGAACTGAGTTCTTGCAACTAACTCCAATATTCTCATCCTTATATCTTTGCAAGCTGGTAATGGTATTAACCTTAGATACTTTCAATGTTAAACTGTTAGATCTTATAGATTTCATAGGTTGAAATATTATAGGTTATACGACATCGCGTTGCAAAGATATAATATTGAAACATCAAAGTTTGTGAATATTGAACTCAACTCCTTTCAGGTCTGTTGTTTTATACAGTGCTACCTTCAAAGAATGAAACTTTATTTAGTTGTCTTTGATTTTCATCACAATAAGTGAGCGATTTTTAATTTATTTCTTATAGCAATGGTCTTTTTTTAACTCAATCAAAGTCCAACGTTTTTCCTTTTAAATGTACCCGTCCGACGTTTGTACCATGTCCGACGTTTGTACCAGTCCGACGTTTGTCTCAGTCCAACGTTTATACCACTCCGACATTTGTACCAGTCCGACGTTTGTAAGTCTCCCGTTTTTACTGTCCGACGTTTGTAAGTCTCCCGTTTTTACTGTCCGACTTTAATTACGTCCGACGTTTGTGGGACCGAATTTTGTACTAGTACCGAAAAGTTTAGATCAGGCAACGCTGGGTTCCAAAGCTATAGCTTTAAATAAAGAGGTGACCAGAATGTTTTGGAATAATCTCGGTCTCTCTCTTTTAATTATGAAATTTGATGAATGATTTTGTGATTAGTAATTGTAAAAAGTAAAAATCTCTTAGTGCAGATTGTTTGAAATAAAATGCATTCCAATACAGACAATGAGAGAAAGACAGAATACAGCAATCATTCTAATGCAATGTTAAAGTTGCACTGTACTGTACAATGTGTATCTGTAATAATAATTTTGAGAATAAAATTTAAACTTTTTTAAATCTTTGGGTTTAAGATTCAGTAAAAACTAATGCATATGGCATTTAAACAGTTTCGGCTAAAATTGATTAAATTAATATTTTTTTTTAAATCTCTTCAATTTTAAATTTAAGAATCCTAATATCACATGAAGATGATAAATGAGTAAGGCTAATGATATTAAGATACTGAATTCAAAAACTCACGGCAATGTATTTCGGCATAGCAAAAAAAGCTAAAAAGTAAATATAAATAATACTTGACATTTGTTATCAACACGTCAGCAAACTCACTAGTTAGTAGATCAACCTTAATATAAACAAACCTATCTATTCAATTAGACGAAAGTGCTGATTTTGTACGAAAAATGTATAAATCTGAAATCATCATTTAAGAATAAAAAAAGTATGAAGGCTTTAGAAGATTAACGATGATTGTTTTTAATGTGCTCACTGTTAACCAAGATGTGCACGCAAAATCGAGCAATATTTTGCCAATTACTTCTTTTAAATTAAAATGTCTAGGGCCACACAAAAGTATACGTGAGCTGGTGAAGTAAAACCAAAAGCAAACCGTTGCGACACTTTAAAGACGAGACGGTATAAAACTTTCAGAGTTATTTAGATTTACTTTGTTGAGAACCGTTATAGGTTTTTTCCTTTTGTTCTGTTGATAAACTTTTGAGCCTTCCATTGGGAGGTTTCCCACGGTACATTGCACCTAAATTTATTTTTCAATGAGATTATAATTCAATGCAAAGTACGCACATTTTTGAAAATTGGTTGAACACCCTAATTCAAAATCTCAAGATCCCCCAAACCATGAAGCCAGTTAAATGTTTATTAAAAATAGTTGTTTAACTCTTTCCACTCACCTGCTTGTGCATACTTCTCATTGAAAGTTTTCTCCCACAGGGAAACAGTAGACTGAAATTGTTAGTAAATTGTAAAGCATGAAATTTAATTGATGTTATAACAAAAATAATTGCAAAGAAAATGTTTTGAAAGGGTAAGCTCTAGGCTTTATATTTAAAATTTCTATTCCTTTATAAAAAGCAGGTTTTTGGGTTTGCAACAACTTTCATTAATCTCACTAATCTAAAAACTATAGGTGCAGATCCATGTTAAAACCAGCTCTTAAAAAATAAATGTCACTTACTCACAAAAACATTAGAAACAATTTGGCAATTTAAACCCCCGACTAGCCCAAGGGTTTATATTTAAACCCCCGACTAGCCCAAGGGTTTATATTTAAACCCCCGACTAGCCCAAGGGTTTATATTTAAACCCCCGACTAGCCCAAGGGTTTATATTTAAACCCCCGACTAGCCCAAGGGTTTATATTTAAACCCCCGACTAGCCCAAGGGTTTANTTATAAACCCCGATACATTTTAAGTTATTAAGGGCTGATGTAAATCAGAATACAAGTCTACAGGTACAACAACAGGTCAAAGTTTTTGCAAATTTATTTCCAAGAGAAACACGTACCAAAAAAGAATCTTTTATTTGAAGATATACCCCCCTCCAGTTGCCCCTACATAAGGGTGACCCACAAAACAGTTGGGAGACGACTTGAAGATCGTCTTTGATCTTTAAAATAATTTGCAGCATTCCTTCTTCAATCTAATATTACAAGTGAAATTTTTTTTAAATAGTCACAAATACCCCTAGTCCTGGCACTCTTAAAATGTTTTTTTTTGTGTGTACAAAGAAAGTCGCAAATTATTTCAAAGATCAAAGACGTCTCTCAACAGTCCTGTTTAATAGGACACCCTTATTCTAAACTCCTGATGATACAATTTTGTTTCTCTCTGGGGTTTATTGAATAAACCTGCAAAGTTTCCTCTAAAAATAAAAAAACCTTACTGCAGATAAAACACTAAACAATGTGTTCAGGTATGAGAATTCAAATTGTTTAAAAAATAAGAATAAACACATGAATTCCTTATAAGAATTTGGTATGGTATTTATGTTAGGTTATTTTCCTCGTTCAATGTGTATACATACTTGACTGGTCGTTGATAGTTTTGATCCCGGAGTACGATCGTTTACAGAATCATCATGATCAAGATTTCTACCAAGTATACGTAGCATATCTTCTGCATACATCACAGGCATAACCTAACAACATCCAGTTACTCTAAGCATTGAGAATTTGAGATCAGTGCTTCAGTTCCATTTCATTTTGAGCGGCTCGAGATGATTTCTTTTAAAAGCCATGAAAAAATAGATGAAAAAACAAACAATATTTTACTTCCCCACCACTAACTACACAACAAAGTATCGACATATATTTGTATTCAAATGGTGATTTCTATTTTAAAATCCGTCGAAAATAGCGTTAAAAAGACATTTTATATTTTAATATTCAAAGTAAATAGACCAACAAAACAGTATAAGATAGCAATTAACGAGTGAAAATGGATTCAAAAGTTTTAACTCACTGACTTTTAACTGATGATACATTGTTCACAATGAGAGAGATACACTAACTTACTTGGTGTGTGTGCCAGACAATATCCATATCATAACATGGAACAAGAAACTGATCTGGAAACAGCTTTTGTAGCGCCAGGAACTGAGCGTATCGCCTTAAAATGGATAACATGTAACTTTTTACAGCCAAAATATCACTGGCTAAATATACTAAGTAAGACCATTTGAAAGTTACCAGAGACAGTTTTGAGGCCGAATTTAAAGAATTTGAGCCGCGGTTTAAATTTAAGCCGCGGCTCAAATTTTGGTGGTTACACTTAAATTTGAATTGAATTTTTCAAAATTTAAGCCGGCGCTCAATCGAAACCGGATTTGGGGGATTTGAGACGCGGCATAAATTCATTAAATTCGGACACTGGTCGAGAAAAATGTAAAACTGAATTTAAATTTCATATATAACTGATCCCTCCTAGAAATACAGTTTATTTCTGATTCTGATAGCTGTGCCGTTTAGAATCTTAAAATAAATGGTTATCAAAATGCAAGAAACATAAAGAAATGATAGAAATTGAATAAGACATTTTGCAAAAAAAAAAATATACTTTGAAAAATCATGGAATTCAAAGCATGAAAAATTACCTTATTGACTTCACCAAAAATTCTGACGTTTTATAATGAGGTAAGGAAACCTAAGTGAACATAAGTAAGATATTTAAAAAATAAGAATTTGGTCAATTTTAATAAAAAATTTATATACCTGATAGAAGAATTCCTGTTGCCGTTTGCTAGCCTCTAGAATATTGTATCTAAACTTGGATTTATATTTAGGTATTCTTAAGGAATCCATTCCAGCCTCAAAGTCAAGATTATATGATTCCTTGGTAAATGTTTTCCAAAGACTTTTCGTCAAAGAACGCTTTTCTTTCTCCTAAAAATTCTTCATTTAATGGGCATAATTGTTTTGATTCATTATTTTAAACATTGTAATTATTGCTTCTCAGAAATCTACCGTTTCTGATGTCAAATAATGTTGCAAATTCATATGTAATTAATAAACCAAATCATGCCAAATTAACCAAATAAACCAAATATGCGAAATAAAACTAATGCAAGCTGTGATTATGATTAAAAGTTTTAAGTATCAACTCCTAAAAGGAGTGTTAATATATTTAAACAATCTGATTCTGGTGGGTAAGATTTCTACAACTTTTAAAATATTTGAATTAGATGTGAAGACGATTGAAACAATAACAAACCATGGATAATTCCTGCTCAGAATATACAGGGTGTCCCAATACACATGGAAATTAAGTGACGACTTTTATCGTCTTCGACCAGTACCCTGTATTACTCCCCAGTACCCCCCAGTACCCAAGGTATCCCACAATGCTTCCAGTACACTGCAGTAGCCCCCTGTACCCCCTCCTCAACAGTATACCCCAGTAAAGCCCAGTACTTTGCAGTACATTGTAGAACCCTGTACCCTGAAGTACTCTGTATACCCTGTTACAATCACTTTTCATAAAAAGATTTGGGAATTACAAATTGGTGTTTTTGCAATCCCTCCCTCCAATGAATCATCAGCTGTTTAGTTTTAAACCATCAACAGAATCTCTCATTAATACAAATGAAAATAATGCAAAACTAGATGAAAGTGCAACCCAGAAAAGCTTCTTTATAATTTCTAAATATTTTTGTTCAAAATAAAAATTTTGTTTGATTTGGCAACTTTTTTTTGCAGAAAGGTTTCACATCGGTATGTTTAAGGATATCTACTCGATATAAAGCAATAATAATCAATAATTATTTTGACTTAAATTCTTAACAAAGTGAATTTAGAAAAAACATGTCGGTCAAAGAAAGTTTTCTATAAATATATGCAATCACCCAGAACACAAAGTTTTATCAAAATTAAACTTTTTTAGGTTTGTTGGACGTTTTTTAAAAAAATGCTAAAAATATTTCTAACACCCCTGGGCTTATTACGTCAATATAATTCACCAAAACCAAACTGCAGTCCTTCAATTATCATACAGGGAAATTTTCATCTTTTAAATATCCATGGGAAAGATTTTACAGGTTCTTTACGAATACGAATAACGTTTATTATATGCACAGAGTTTACTGGCTTGCAAAAGGCAGCTTTTTTCAAGTTCTACTTCGATGAAAATCTCTCACGAATATTTGTTTATTTTATCTATCTATAAAAATGATAACCCAAAAAGGATGAGACGACTGTGCGGATTTTATCAAGCCTTTTCATACTTTGATGGTTCCCTAATCCCTATCAACTTTAAACATTTTGCTTTCTTTGCCAAATCATTAGGACGTCATCATAGCCAAAGACCGAATTTAACTCTCAGATCGTCAGAAGTAAAGAGTTTCATCAAAGTCTCATCGCTTATGGGTACCACTGTATCTATATGCTAACCTTGACTCCAAAAAGTTCTCCAATCTCGTGGTTTATCGTTCGACCCAATTCTGATGCAGAGAGGTCCTGTATGTACATCTGCGGGGCCAACATATGGACGTGCCAAACCCATCTTTTAATATTTTCAATTAATATTCTACGTACTTGAATTCCAAAATAGTGAGAAGAATTAACTCAAACATATGATTGATATAGAAAAAGTACTCAATTCTACTCAAATATCAGGGTTTTAGGATTTATCAAATTGTACAAAAAATCTGATCATTTTATGTTTTTACTTTTACCAAATATTGGTTAATTTGCACATAAAGAACTAAATCTAACGTGCTTCTCCCATGGACATGGTCAGATTTAGAGATTTCAAAACGTTTAGTTAATTATCTTGAAATCATGTTAAACAAATACGCTATTTCGATCAGCACATATCTTAATGGGACTTTGAATGAAAGGCAAAATTTAAAAATTATTTTTCCTATTTTTGGTCTGAAACGGTCATCATTTTTTTCAATTATGGGATGCTTTTGTAGAAAATAGCAGAAAAAACTGTAGAAGCATTTTATTAATAAAATAACCAAATCTGTTTATCAAGATTGTAAGAAAGTTCATAGATAGAGCATCTCTAAATCTGACCGAAAGTTCATAGATAGAGCATCTCTAAATCTGACCAAAAAGTGGAATGTGCTCTTAGCAAATATATTTCTCTATATGCACACAGAGTTAAATAACCTTCAAACCAATTTTTGCTTTTGCATTTTTTTAAATGTACATTGTACACGTTAGACATTGATAATTGGTTAAGTTACAATAAACAATGATCGGATTTTTGATAAATCAAAAGACCTAATATTTGAGTAGTGACTTTGATAACAAAAATTTCGCCAATTACTTTTCCAATAAAGCTTTTATAATCGATCTTCAATGAATTTAAATTCTTGAGTAAACATAATCTAAAGTAAAAATAAATTCCCCAAAGCCTCCAATTATTAAAATGTACACAGTATAATTCTAATTTTTGTTCAAAACTAACCTTATGTCGAAAGGCGGAGAAAACTCTAGATCAGATGAATGTGAAGTAGAGAAGTTTTTAATGAAAGGAATCCACAACTTTTCGTACCTAATAGAAATGGTTCATGGATTTCAGAACTCAGAATTAATAAATAATTAAAACTAGTTGAGCTAGTGTTGCATAGAGCGGACAAGAGAAGAAGTTTGACTATTCTAGTTTTTCATTAAATCCGACTTCGGGTACAAGATCATTAAAATACATGGTTTCTCGATGACTATTCATAAATCCTTAACTTATCAAATTTACAAAAATTAACGAATAATTCAGATTTTTTAGAGTTAAATACTATTTGTTATAACACATACAGCATCACGTTATCACTTCAATCCTGCCCATCTACAACCAAACTAGACTGAAGGAGAAGGTTTAATCTTTGCGACATCACCGGTACAACTTTGTGACCTTGTAGCTCCCCTAGTTTTATTTTTGATGCATAAGTATGAAAATTTAAAAATAGAAAATTTATAAAATTTTAATCTTTCGCACATTTTACCTCAGTTTGACCGGGGGGCTAAAAGGTTACAACGATTACTATCAATTTTCGAAATTATTGAAGGCCTCCTATTCAATGTTATGGAATTAATTAAGATTAATCTTGAGATGTTAAACACTTGATTGGAATATCTGTATATTCAATGTTATGGAATTCATTAAGATTAATCTTGAGATGTTAAACACTTGATTGAAATATCTGTATATTCAATGTTATGGAATTAATTAAGATTAATCTTGAGATGTTAAACACTTGATTGGGATATCAAATTGAGAAAATTGCAACATACTACTTAGACCGTAAAAAAAATCAATTTAATTTCAAACAAATCATTTAGATATTACAACCTTTAGTCATCGATTATCTTTCGCCACATTTGTATATAGTTTATATTTTATAAAATTTTATTTTTTTAGAAAACGTTTTCAACGGATTTCGAAAATTATTAGTGGTGTGCGGCATTCTTAGATAGTAGCGCAAGCGACAAGAGAAATAAACAAATTAATTAAAAAAATATTATAAAATATAAACTATATACAAATGTGGCGAAAGATAATCGATGACTATAGGTTGTAATATCTGAATGATTTGTTTGAAATTAAATTGGTTTCTTTACGGTCTAAGTCGTATATTGCAATTTTCTCAATTTGTATGGCCGCTAAGTTATTCGGTGTGAGACGTCTTTAACAATTTTCTCCTTATAGACGCAACAGATAGAAGTAAGATTAGTAGCGATAAAAAGCGCTTTTTTATCGCACTAAGCCTATACCCCCTTTCATTTTTCGCGAACACTCCCTTTAAAAGTTTCAACATTTTTTACCTGTATATTGCATTCTTTACAACATGTTCTCTGTAGTAATATGGTCGACTGTTTATGTACTCAAGAAACTCAAGCTCGTACTTTAAAAATAGGTAATTTTAACTTTGACTAATCTAATCTTTTTTAAAATAAGCCAAATACCTTGACGACATTTTCTGTCAAACCAGACAAATCTCGAAGTACCGAGACATAATCAGCCATTTTTAAGACAGCATATTAACCTGTAAAAGTCAAATGAATAATCAATTATAAAGTTTTTTATCCAAAGAAAATTTACAAAAGTTTAGACTTTTTTTAAAATAATTTGTTGCTAAGGTCTGAAAATATTTGTTCGTACTTTGTTTAAACCCACTTTAATCTTTAATTAGAACTATGAAACCTAATCAAAGTAAAATTTTGTATCTATATATTTTAACTAAATTGTTAATATTAGAAGTTGTATAAATCTCAACAAATTTAATCCACTTCATAATAATCCACTTTAATACATTTAAAGTCGTTTGTACACTGTACAGTCAAAGGTTTAGATTAAATACTAAAAATCAAATACATGTACATACACTGTATCGGTACCAAAGTTATTGTTTTTGTTTTAGGAGAAAATAAGTTTGTAAGAGGTATGATTAATAGTTTTGCGAACATGTTTTAAGGTACTTCTAAAAATCTCAGCCATATGTAATTTTTTTCTTCTTCTTTCTATATTTTTATACAAGTTAAATTTGTCGATTAGATAATCTGTTGGACAATTGGCTTTTTTTAGTTGCAATCCACATTTCAGCAAACACTTTAGTATCTTTTCCTAGGATCTTTGGAACAAATTGTCTAAATCTTTGCAAATTTTTCAAACCGTACTTTACAACTTTGATTTAAGAGCACCACATCATGATGTTAAACTCATTGAAAATCATCTACAAAGAAACCTTGTTAATTTGGGTTGAGAAACTTTCATTTGTGTGAACTGTTTGTGGGAAATTCGTGGATTTTTCCTGCTCAGACATTTTCTTGTTCTGCAACACTCTCCATTACGCATATTCCTTTTTAACCCACTGCAGCTGTTATGTCTTTATCATTCTCCTCAAATGCATTTTGAATCATGTCAAATGTGTCTGCTTTGAATTTGGAAAGTTATACCCCGACTTTTTGTGTATCGAGCAAGTGTCTATTTTCCCTAGTTGTTATCTAAAAAATGCCCGCGCTGTGACAACGAAACTATAAAACATCAGGGAGAAAAAAAGTCTGATGAGCAGAGTTAGTTGGGAGAAGTTAACCAGGATGGATATAGTAAAATTTGAAGAAAAAAAATATTACAGGGCTGAGACATCTAGACGTTTTCGCAAAATTTATTGAACATACATTGGACATCAATTTCATATATTTAACAATAATTATAATAATAATATAATCTCTTATTGAACATACATTGGACATCAATTTCATATATTTAAAAATAATTATAATAATAATATAATCTCTTATTGAACATACATTGGACATCAATTTCATATATTTAACAATAAATATAATAATAATATAATCTCTTTTATTGAACATACATTGGACATCAATTTCATATATTTAACAATAATTATAATATTAATATAATCTCTTATTGAACATACATTGGACATCAATTTCAAATATTTAACAATAATTATAATAATAATATAATCTCCATTTAATTCACAATAATCCTTTTGAAACAAAATAAAAAACAGAAACAATTACAGCAACTTAATTATTTTTTCAAACTTAGGTTGAGCATTTCTAATCAGTGTGTAATTACCCCAATTTCATGGAAACAGAAAACCTGAACCATACCATAGTAATAACACTAAATAACATGTCTTGTATGTATAACTATGTATATAACTATAAATATAACTATAAATAACTATATATATAACTATATATATAACTATAACAAACAATCACACAGACAAGCAAAGTATATATATAGATATCTTCTGTCAGGGTCTAAATTTGACAAATTGTAAGAAAAGAAAAACAACTTAGAAAACATGTTTCATGTTTAAATATTCTTTGATTTTAAATAATTATTGTTTAGATGTTCCAAGAGAGGAATCTATTCCAATCAGTTATAGATAGAGATGGGCACGTTCAACTTTTTAAAATTTTGTTCGTTCATCATTCATGACCGAACCATTTCGTTCGCTTTTTTAATTATTTAAAAAAATTGAATTAGTTCGTTTTCAAAATTTGGATTAATTATGCTCGTTTTTAAACCTATTCCTGCTTGGGGGGGGGAGTCAATTTGCCCCCCCCCCCTGTAGTTTTTTTTACATAACTCAAAAAGTATTGGTCTGAGGCTGTTGAAATTTTTTGCCTTTTCCTACATACCCAAAGGCCTTCCTTTAGGCCTAAAACCGGGCTTTAACACTAACTGCCTGAGTCCTCAGGCACACTGCCTGAATGACTGCTTTTTCCTGTAACAAACTAAATCTTTGTTTTGACCCACTTCCACTTGTCAGATTTTGATAAAATTTAGCTTTTTGGAAAGCCTTTGACATAAGGAAACGAATTGCACAAGTTTTGCGAAAAAAAATTGCAACTTTTTTGCAAACAACCTATTAAAGGAAATTTGCACATTTTTAGTTTTTCTTGATTAAAAATCAGGTTATTTAAAATTTTGCAAATATTTGAAATGGCATGGTCAAGGGCTTTTCAAAAATGTATAATTTTTCATTTTTAGGACAAATTTTTTTTGCAAACATTTTTAATATATAACTGGATTTTGCGATAAAAAATTCAATTTTTGCAAATTTGCAATTTTTTTGCAGATTCTGAAAGTAGAGCACAAGAGCTTTCCAATGATGTATCATTTGTCATATTTGGACATCAAACATGGGATTTAGAGGGGGGGGGGGGTCAATTGGCCCCCCCCCCCAGCATATCCTGGTTTTCAAGTACCCCAGCAGAGATAGGGTTAAACTGAACGTCGTTCAATAAAATCTTTCGTTCAGTAAAATACTTCGTTCAATAAAACTGTTCATCTATATAATAAAGCAAGACATTCATATATATGTTTTCAAAATTTTGTTTTCAAATTTTGTTTTTCCACAGGCAACGCCAGGTACGGTTTCCAGTCGTAATCTCGTGACACGTTGTTTAAATATTTGCGTTTGTTTCTAATCTATATTTGTTATATTAATATATAATGTTTTAAAGCAACAACATTTTTTAAACTCAAGGTTTATAATAGCAATTGATTCATGATTGCAGTATACAGAGAAAATCAGAAAACTCAAAAATATAAGAATGACTTTTAGACTCAATCTTTGACTTTTGTAATAGCCCAACTGCTCCAGTGAATTGTAAACAGACCCATTTCTTAATTAGATTAGATTAGAATACGTGTCTCCGAGAGGGGTTTGGCAAAGACGACTTACAGTGAATGGGGTAGATGTATTTATGGCCTACAGTGTCTTGTAAAAATGATGTGTTACAATATCCTTTGCACTTAAATTTGGCTATTAAGTCATCTTCCTATTTACGAGTTTTCCGGTTATTTCTTTAGGTTAAATGTAAAAATTGTACAGATCGTAGGTTTCCTCTTGGTATATATGATAGTTTTATTAGTAGGTAGAAAGCATGTTTCATTTTCACAATTTTTTGTAGCAATTTACATTTTTGTGTGTAATTTTACGTGATATTTATGAAAAAATTCAGAATATTTACAGAATATATAAGAAAAAATCGGAATATTTAGGTAAAATTCGTAAATTTTTTCAAAAAAAAAAACACGTAAATATTTTCGAATAATTTGTGAAAAGTTGGAAAGGTTTTGGTTTTCATTTAAAAGTACGAAAGTATACGTAAACAATTCGCCAATTTTACGAAAAATATACTGAAATTAATTGGTAGATTTTACGTGATTTTATCCGTAGATTTTGCGTAAAAATGAGATCGTTTTTAGTAAAATTTATGTATTTAAATTTCGTAAAATTTTCTAACTTTAACTAACATACGATTAGTTTTCGATATTTGGTTAATAAGGGCAGCGCTCGGCCCCATTGCAGCCTGCGGCGCATCAGAGGGCCCTAACCTAACCTTTGGGAAGTTGCCGCTTGGGAAATTACACATTTATAAAGTTGCCACTTGGTAAGTCACGCATGGGAAAATCATAGGTCTAGGAGGAGGCTCAGCACCCCTTGTCTTTCCCTGTATACTTAATAAATTTGATATAATCAATTTATTATTAAATCAAAAGAGATTAACATCCTCAGACACTGTGTTTCATGGAGTATGTGCTCCAATCTTCGGAGAGGTTTCTTCTCGATATATACCTAGTCCAGGCCATAAATTTTGAATTTCTCTCATAAAAATATTTTTACGTTATCACGTTATTTCAGATTTCTCATTCTAATTTTCAAACTTAGTCAATAGTCAAGTACCAGGTACAGGTACAAACATGTTTTATGTTTTATTTAATTATAGCAAACAACTGATGTAATATGTATTGCAAGAAAAATGATAAAACTGTCTTTTTGTCTTTAAAAAACTGTCTTTTTGTACACAAACCAGAGGCATGTTCAGGGGCTAAGTCCCCCCTGGACCAGTGAAATCTATTGATTTCAGGGGGTTTTCATGCCCCTACAGGTGTGGAGCCCCCCCCCCTGGACAAAGTCCTGAATACGCCCCTGACACAAACTGAGTATATTGTGTTTACGCAAATCAAATCACATTTATTTATTTTCAGTAGATATCGAGATTGATCAATTAAGTAAATAAGCTTTCTAAAATCACAATAAGAAAGGATAAAAAAGAAACGCGGACTTAAATATGAACAGGAGAAACGAAAATATATTATATAAACAGTGAGATCAGTCTACAAGAAAAGAGCGAAAATATAATAACATTATTATCAAAATAAGATGAATTATATAATGTGTAACTTATAAAACATTTGATATAACTTGTATGTATAACTATGTTTTAAAACTAATAAACTTACTTTTAAAAGAAATTCTGAGTGTTGACGACAATAAGCTCTGTGTGCTGTGTATCGTAGTGTACGTACACTGCTTACTACGTTAAACACTGGGTTATAACTGCCAACTGCACAGTACTCTTGCTTCAAGGCTAGTAGTTTGAAGTTTTAAATGTATATTACCTAACAAGCCGGGTTACACAGTGCATTGCGTACACCTCAGTGCAGATAAGCCGGAGGGGGGCATGGCAATTTTCAATACCACCTGAGGCTCAAGCAGTTTGCTATAAACTTATTCTGAGCTAGACCCTTGTCCTTGTTGCCTGATGTAGGGACATTTCTTAAAATCTTCTCAAAATTTCCAAGAACACGCCAATTTCTATATAAATAGAACTGTTGACAGAATGTATAAATATTTTCTTAGGAATACCATTTCATAAATTCATACAGGGTTTCCCTTATAAAGTTTGAGAGACTTTAATGCCGACATGGTAATATACCACAACAACATTAAGTTACATTTTTATGAAATCCAATTCAAGTACAGGGTGTACCAATAAACATGGGAATTCAATGACGAATTCGAGATAGTCTTTGTTATGAATTAGCATTGTAATCCCTAATTTCAAAAGCCATAATATTATTATGTCTGCTAGAGTTTATTTTATGAAAACGGTAATGGTTTAAAGATGTGTCTTATAATGTCTCCGCAAGATAAACAGTGAAGACGGACTGTAATTGCTGTAATTACAACCGCGTAATAAAGAACTATTTAAAAGACGATATCGAATTCGTCACTGAATTCCCATGTTTATTGGGACACCCTGTACACTAGATGACAGCGCAAAATGTGTACACATTTAGTTCAGCTATATCTACGTCACAATCTATCTGATGAAATTAACATCCTTCATCGTTTTTATCTCGGTAACCATGTTATATATGTATATGTTTGTATACAATTTTGGACATGGATCTATGGGATTATTACCTGCAGAGGACTCGGAAAGCATGAGCATTATACGGCCACATTTTAAAACTTTAAAAATATAGTCAATATTTGTTTAACTTGGTTGGCGTTTATTAATAAATAATGCTAAAGAACTTATTGCTAATGCTATATAAAGAGTGTATTGATTGTGTGATATATAATATGAAAAAACACCTAATACAATTTTGTGACACACAACCGTGCCCCCCCCCCACCCCTCCTGAATCCTGATTATATAGAGCAATATCACGTATTTTCCAGTTTATATTAGGTAATTAGATTTAGTCATAGGAAATCACCAAATTATGATATCAAAATGTTTGAACAGGAATAGTGTAATTATATGTAATTAACAAGAGATATCACAGAAAGAACAATAATGAGATCAACAATTTAAAACTTTAGATTGTTTTTAACAAATCACAACCCTACTCTTCAAGCACTAAAATTAAATCATTTTCTTCTCAATATATTTCGCCAAAAACTTTGGCATCATCAGGAGTTAGTGCAAAAAAAACATTTTTGAATAAAAAAAAATCTTTTTTTAGACAGTGAATATATAAAATAAATAATACAAACAAAGCAAATCGAATAAACAGAGAAGAGAACAAAAAAACAGTTATTATGTAACCTTTAAAATAAGAAATTTTTCAAAATGAATATTGTCAAACCAGTGCTAAGGATCCGGATCCGTTGGATCCGCAAGATTTTGACTTCCTGGATCCGGATCCGTAAAAATATGCAGATCCACGGATCCGGATCCAAGGGGTAAAATATCAACCAAAAACTGGGAAAAAAAACTTTATTCTTCCCAAAACCAAAAACTGAACTTTTGAAAAAAGAGAGATTATAAAAATTTCATCCTTTCTGACTGGTTCATCAAGTTTTAGGATAAAAATATACGAAAAAAATAAAACAAAAAATTTGAAAATTATGTTTTGTTAAAAAATGACCTAAATCCGGATCCGGATTTGTATCCGGATCCATTTTTTTCCAGTGCGGATCCAGGATCCGGATCCAGATCCAGATCCGCATAAAAATTAAATGGATCCTAAGCACTGGTCAAAACACATACTTAAAAGAAAAATTATAAAACCCTACCTTACTCTTTAAAGAGTATTAATAACTGGAAAAGGATTGACTGGTTTATGGGCGAATTTAACAAATGAAAAGGAAAGCAGCTTTAAATATTACCATCAAGGACAAAGTCCCAACTGTATAATTAATTTTATTAAATAAAAAATAATTCCCAAGAGAGAACGGGGTGCTCAAAAACGCCAATCCTGAAGAGTAAAATCTACAAAGCTAAATAATTTTACTCGTTAAAAATTTTTTATAAGTTATAAATAATAAAATTATTTTATTACTAAATAAACAGAAATAAAAACCAATTTTTTCAAAATAAAATAACGAAGTTTTAGTTTTAATTATGGATGAGAATTCAGAAACGTTATAAATAATAAAAATATTTTATTACTAAATGAACAGAAATAAAAACCATTTAAAAAAAAATAAAATAACGAAGTTTTAGTTTTAATTATGGATGAGAATTCAGAAACAATCGTAGGGTATTACTATTAATTACATTCATGGCTTTGCAGCTTTACACCATTCCTTCTTAGTTATATCAATAGATAACATCTAAAATGACTAATTTCAAGATAGAGAACAAAATTTAACCTTGTAACTGTTAAAATTCAGTGTTAGGTCGTCAACAAAGTATCATCCTTTGTGGGTAACGCTGTATATTCTTAGGATGAAAGAGGACACAGAAAAATGGAATGACGAAAATGTCGACATTGTATAAATGACCAAGCACTATATAGACATCTGCCTACCAAGCTTACCTTCTACATTTATCATAATATAACCCTGAAAGTAAAAGTAAAAAAACTCTTTTCATAAAAAAACCTCGAACCAAATATTTATACATTTTCTGGAATAAATTGTACTAAAGGTGAAAAAAATATATTTCAAATTTGTATTCCATTAATAATCCTTGTAATGTTTGAGTCTGTAAAGGAGTGCTGCTCCCTTGTTGTTTCCTAAAATAAGACTCATTAAACATGTAAATAAAGTTCAGATTTGATTCCTGTAGAAAATTGAATAACGAATTTATATTTATGTACAGAGACAATCCTAAAACTCTGAAATAGGAAGACGACTTTTAGAATCAAGCTATATCTTCAAAAGTTCAACGAGAATAAGACACAGAAATTGTGCAGTGTAAACAGACTCACTTTACTAATAAGTGATTTAATAGGTGTCACGTAAAACTATTTACTTTTTAACAACATCCAACACTTCATAATTGCTACAGTGATAACTAGAAACGTGTAGAATAGGAAGACGACATTAAAGCATTACTGAAGTGCATTTGATGTTCATTCAAAGCAAATAGTGAGTAAGTGAAATGGGTCTGTTAATTCACTGCGCAATTGCTGTGTCTCATGTTTATTTGACTATTTAAAGTCATAACTTCAGTCTAAAAGTCGACTCCTATTCCAGAGTTTTCTGGTTATTGCTGTATAATGTCCTCTTCCTACTCCACTGTTTTTTGGATATCACTGTATGTATATAGTATAACATGTAAATTTTGATATAATGATGTATGAATGGATGTGTGTTAGGCTGTACATTTGTATATTTGTACATTTGTATATACTAATGATAGTCTTCAGGAGATTTCTCAGGACTTCAGAGAGTATTTTTGTATAAAACTATACATAGGGGTCCATTATAATAATAGTCCTTGTATCGGGATTACAGTGGGTTGCAATGGGGAGTAGTCTTCAGGAGACTACCCAGGACTTTAGAGAGTAATACTAATAACTATACAGATAAGGGATATATATTATATAATCCTTGAATAGGGACTTCAATGGACTACATAGGGGACATGAAGTAGACGTAATATAAAATAACAGCATTTAAAAGGCAAGGGGGGGGGGCAAAATAATGATAACTTGCGACCCCCCCCCCAGGATAAAATCCTGTATACACGCCTGCTACCCTACTGCCCTAAATTAAACAAATTTTGGACAATGACAAGCAATATTTTCTTTTTCCAATATACAATCCGAAGGCCGTACTTCATGAATTTTAACAATAATTATACAATTAAATATGAACAAGTGTAAGAATCTTTCTAAACTATGTCAAAAAAGCTGATGAAATATAATGATTCAGGATTTACAAAACTTAAAATTAAATTGTATACATATTCTTTCTTGCTTTCAATTATATCATACCGTGTAATTCTTCTAAAATGAATTTCTTCTAAAGCGGAAACCCTGTTCGGTATCTAATATATGGACCAATGAGGCTTCAGTTTTGAGAAAGCCTCAACCAATAGGAATCCAGGAAAATGACCGGGTTGGGGCAATGTTTTCAGTACGTCAAACTTTACGTGGCAGACAAGAAAACAAATTTCTCCAAAACTTTGCACATCATTGTAACTTTCATTTGTATCCTTGACCATCTAGTATCCTCGGTTTGATATTTTACTATTAGTCGTGCTTTAGCTAGGAATATTGCTGTATAGTGTACAAACTGAAAATAGCTTTATTATTATCAGCTGATTTTTTACATTAATTTAATTGAAAATTTTCCAATATTTAATCTATGCCTCTAAAGATTGATAGTAAAATAAATGGAAATTGGTAAATATACTAAGCTTCTATTAAAAATTTTAATATTTAAAATTTGATTATTTTCAGACCAAAAATGGGAGGACAAGATGTCAGAATTGGCAAAATGAAAGCTCTCATTTTAGTTGGAGGATATGGAACAAGGCTCAGACCCCTTACTCTGTCGAGACCTAAACCCCTTGTTGAGTTTGCAAACAAGGAACTAATCAATTAGTAATTAATTGGGGTATTGACAGTTTTCTTAATAACATACGAAAAACCGAGAAACATATAGACCAGGAACTGCCATATCTCATGCATCAAATCTGTGTACTGCAGTCGGAGGAGATCAAAACAAAGGATTCAGGGGCAACACATCATTTTTGAGGGAAAAGTGCCAAGGGGTGGTGGGCAATATTGCTATTGTATTTTCCATATTGACCAGAAAGCCAAAAATTATTAGTTTTCGCTCTAAATCAAATCATATTATATATTAACGTTTTTTTGTTGGACTGTAATATCACATCAGAGCTTTAGTCCTTTCCCTTCAACTTCTGTGGGGGCACTGGGTTTGTTTACATTCCTCCAACAGTACACAGTACATAATATGTATATATCTGAGTTGGACGTTCCTGTATATAGTACCTTGCTAAAAACATTTTATTCAAGGAAATTAAAATATTTTTGTATATAAAATACAAAATCAAGACTAAGTTTCACTTTATTACCTCCCCGTCCCCCATTAATTTAATAAAATCCTCTAACTTGTATTTAAAAATAATTAATTGGTTTTGTAATAAGCCGATGCTGTTGCATCAAATTGAAGCCCTAGTTGAGGTTGGTGTTGTACATGTTGTGCTAGCCGTTAGCTATCATGCAGAGCAACTAGAACAGGAAATGCAGGTAAACTGGGTATCAAATGTACAGGGTGAATAAAAAAACAGATAACCAATGTTTTGCACAAAAGTTTCAAATTTTTTTTCTGGTTCAGATTTTAGATGAACAAAATTAAATTGTGGCAAAAAATGATTCAAAAATATTTTTGGAACAGAACCCATCTAACAAAATACTATATGAACATAACTTTTAAAAATAAAACATTACTCTAGTATGTAACGTTTTGAATTCTATGCTAATTAGACTTTTAACTATTTAGGTTGAAGCAGCTCGTTTGGGAATAACAATTTCCTTCTCCCACGAAAAAGAACCACTTGGAACTGCAGGGCCATTGGCTCTTGCTAAGAACATTCTTGGAAAAGACGATGAGCCTTTTTTTGTGCTAAATAGTGATGTAATCTGTGATTTTCCATTCAAAGATATGGTTAAGTTTCACAAGGAACACAATAGAGAAGGAACCATTGTAGTTACAAAAGTAGATGAACCAAGCAAGTATGGAGTAGTTGTATATAATAAAGTAAGTATCCTTAAAATATGTATTGATTTTTAAAAGGATTAAATTCTAATAAAAAATATGTTCACATGAATATAATTTTCAAAAAATTTTATGTTTGCTTATATATTAAATTTCAGACTACAGGCAAAATCGATAATTTTGTTGAGAAACCCCAAGAATTTGTTTCCAACAAGATAAATGCAGGTCTCTACATTTTCAAACCATCAGTCTTGAACAGAATTGAGATAAAACCAACTAGCATTGAAAAAGAAGTCTTCCCCTACATGGCAAGAGAGGGGGAATTATACTCCATGGAATTGCAAGGTATAAACAATCTTTAAAATTTTAGCTTATCTGTCTGTATGTCTGTTTATTTGTTTGTGTCCAATGTTAAAACGGCTGAACCAGTCAGGCCAAAATTTTGTGTGGGACCTCGCGTGGCCCCAGGAAAAGTTTGTGAATGATCAAAATTTAAAAAAAATTTGTGTTTAAAATTTTTTTTATTTTTTGTAAAATTTTGATATTGCGCGAAAAAATATTAAGAAATCCGCAAACTTTTTTTGTTTTTGTTTTATTTGAAATATAAATTCAATAATTTTGAAGAATCAGCTTTTCACTAAATATTCAAGTTTGCTTTTATATCAAGGATTCTGGATGGACGTGGGTCAACCAGCTGATTTCTTGACTGGAATGTGTCTCTACCTGGGATCTTTACGTCAGAAGAACAGTAGTTTATTGAGCAACAATAAATCTGTAGTGGGCAATGTGATAATTGATCCAACAGCAAAGATTGGAGAGAACTGCAGAATTGGTCCAAATGTTACAATTGGCCCAGATGTTGTCATAGAGGATGGTGTTTGCATAAAGCGGAGTACAGTTTTGAGAGGTGCAAGAATAGCTCAACATTCCTGGCTGGAGAGCAGTATCGTTGGATGGAAGTAAGTACAGAATAAAAAAATAAAACCTCTTTTTATAACAGGTTGAAAGCCCGCAAAAATATAATTTAATCTCCAATTTTGCCTGATTTACATTTTTACAAGCAGAACCAATGTAGGGTAGATTTTTTGTTGCTGCTTCAAAATGTGTTTTTATTTATAATTTTAAAAGCAGAAAATAATTTTTTAAAACTAATAAAATTCAAAAGGATTGTTATTGCTTTTCTAAGCATATGTTATTTACCATTAAATATTTAATATTGAACAGGTGCAGTGTGGGGCAATGGGTGCGAATGGAGAATGTATGTGTTCTAGGAGAAGATGTTAGTGTCAAGGATGAAGTCTATATCAATGGTGGAAAGGTGCTTCCTCACAAGTCTATTGGGGTTTCAGTTACTGAACCACAAATCATAATGTAAAGATACTTCATTTCATGTATCATCAATGTTCTAATATGAAACTTTCCCTTTTTTAATATCATCTACGATTTTTCAGCACGAAAAATGCAAATCCGATGAAATTAAAATGACTGTCCAGGGTGCCTTCCATTTTCATGCTCGGTTTTATACACAATTGTAATCCTATTTAATATTAAGGTTCCATTGCATTTGTAAAAATCAATCCCGGTTTAGTTTAAAACCAAAATATCCTTAATCTTTGCAGTTTCATTTTACGCGCAATGCCCTGAGTACAATTGTATCCATGTAGCAGAATATATAGCACAAGTTGATTTAATTTATGTTTCTGTACAGTTTGAGATTTCTAAATTAGTTTTGTTTGTTTCAGTTTTATAAATTAGATTATAATACAAATAAAATGCATTTCACCTTTCTTTTAATTAATTTACAAGGTCAATAAAATAGTATTTAACATACAAACTCTGAACCATCAATTTTATCATGAAAACGGAACAATTTATTAATTGATGATGGCTTGAAAGTCGCCTTTGACTTGGAAGATAAATTGTGGCTTTCATTTGGCACCCTTTATTTAGATATTTGGATTGTATTACATCCGTTCTACAATACTTAGGACCTACCCACACATGTTTTTTCAGCAGCTTCAAGCTGCAGTTGGTCCGATGTACTGTAGCTCAGATACACACTTCATTAGAAGAAAGTTAGTGTATCCAAACTACTGTAGGTTGCTTGCACAGCTTTCTAAAGTTGGTTGCACTCTTCTGTAAGTCGGATGCACAACATTAGTAGGTCGGATGTACAACTTTTTTAGGTCAGATGCACAACTTTTGTAGGTCAAGATGCACAACTTTGGTAGGTCGGATGCACAAAGTAGTTAGTGTATCTGATCTACTGTAGGTCGGTTGCACAGCTTTCTTAAGTTGGTTGGACGCACAATAAATGTCTTAGCCTAACATAACCCCACATATGGGCTATATCTTTGTCATTTTGATAAATGTGGCTGTAGCACTCGGCCCCTAGCCTATCCTAGCCGCAGCGCTTGGCCCAGAAATTGTCTAAAACTAACCCCACATATTGTCTATCACTTTGTCATTTTGATAATTGTGGCCACATTCCTCGGCCCCCTAGCCTGTCCTAGCCTGAGTGCTCGGCCCAGACAGTGTCCTAACCTAACCCCACAATTGTCTATCACTTGGTCATTTTGATAAATGTGGCCGCAGGGCTCAGCCCCCTAGCCTGTCCTAGCCAAAGGGCTCAGCCCAGAAATTGTGTTAACCCAACCTAGTGCATCCAACCTACAAAATCTGTGCATCCAACCTACAAAAGTTGTGCATCCGATCCCTACAAAATCTGTGCATCCGACCTATGAAAGTTGTGCATCCGACTTGCGAAAGTTGTGCATCTGACCTACGAAAGTTGTGCATCCGATCCCTACAAAATCTGTGCATCTGACCTATGAAAGTTGTGCATCTGACCTACGAAAGTTGTGCATCCGACCTATGAAAGTTGTGCATCTGACCTACGAAAGTTGTGCATCTGACCTAAGAAAGTTGTGCATCTCACCTACAAAAATTGTGCATCTGACCTATGAAAGTTGTGCATCTGACCTACGAAAGTTGTGCATCCGACCTACAAAATCTGTGCATCTGACCTATGAAAGTTGTGCATCCGACCTACGTGTGCAACCGGAACATTGATCCTTTAATTAGCAATGTCAACTACATACTGACTATATCTGCAGTTCATTCGTAGGTCGGATTAACAAAATATAATGTATATCCGACCTACAGTTGTCGTAGGTCCAAAGTATCGCGGGACGGAAGTACTGTAGGACGGAAATGCCGTAGAACAGAAGTAACTTTACAGTAATTTTTAAACCATTTTGTGATTTTTAACACATAAAAAAATATTTCTAAAAATAGGTTGCCGAATTAAAGCCACAATCTATTTAAAATGTCTACTTTTTTAAACAGTACTATATCCTACCTAGAGAAAGATATCCCCCGCCTGGGCTGAAATCCACGCTGTTTATTTTGTTCAAATTCAGAGTACCCGGGAAGTTTGAGAACACTGTCTTAGATGGGAAGTGAACTAGTTTTATTGCAGTATCCTAATAAATTATTTAATAAAGTCATATTAGGACTAATTTAGGATTAGATGCATCAAAACGCTAATTGTCTTTCAATGCATTCAATTGAATTGATTCCCAATTTATTAAATCTCTAATGTAAGCTAAAGATTAAAATATAATTTTGAAAAACTCAATAAGCTCACCTTAAGTTCACTAGACAAAGCTAGGATCTCTCCTGTTGGGTTGAACCTCAGCTGGTTTATCTGCGTCGTTAAATTGAGAATAACCTAAAAATGGATTTTAAATCAAGCCTCTAACAAAAACTGTTGATAAATTAAAAACGCGAGTAATGCGTTAGCGAGAAAACATTTTTAATTAAAAAAGGTCTGAAAAGAAAACAGTTAAAATTAGATGTATCGAAAGTATCGATAGTATCATACTTACTATATTTGGGTGGGTACGGTTTCAGAATCGTTTTTTTAAATTATTAAATAACGACGACAAAAAATGTAAACTAAATTCTTCAATAAAGGGGATGGTGGAGTTGGCACATTTGATGTAGGGGGGGGGGGGGGCCCTGCCTTCATTTTTGGTTCAAATCTTCCAATTTTTTGGGTGCACGCCTAATTAGGGTTCGAAATTCCTATAATAAAATAAAATTGAACTTTAATGACCTCTAATGACCTCTAATGACCTCCAGAAATAGAAAATATTTCAACTATGGCTTTATGCACATCAAACGAAAGCTAAGGACCCAGGGAATACAGTAGCAGCAAAAAATCCAGTGTATGACCTTCTAATGACCTCTTACGAGCCAACTCCACCATCCCCTTTATAAGTTGTTTAGGAACAAGTTGAGAAAATAAAAATTAATTCTTATCATCGAAAATAAGTAATCTTATTCAATTATCAGTTTCTGTAATCTCACATTATTTACAAAGATTTTCTGCAGATTTTTTGGAATTTTTATTTAAAAGACGACTTTAGATGAATTTGTGGAAATCTGCGAACAAATTCATAGAAAATAAGAAATTCAATATAATGATGAAAAAGGAAATAATTAATTCTGACGGTGATTTATTGACAAATTTTGAGAAATATGTTCCTAAACATCTAATTAGTTTAGTATAGGATTTTTACTATACATTTCGTCGTCGTTAATTAATAATGAAACTAAAAAACAAAACCAATTTTAGACAACAGACATATATTTTTCGTTTAAATAAAGGGGGAAAATCAGGCTGTACAGGGTAAGAACAAAATCCCTTTTGAAAAGTTAAAGTTGCAAGAACTCTATAAAAGCTAAGTCTAAAAAAAAAATCTTTAATTTCATTTTTTTTACCTTATCTGGACTTGGATTTGGTTTATCTATCTTTGCAAGATTATAAATGTTGACCACGCCCTCTGAGCTACCAGTGGCTAGGTAGGAGGAGTTAACCGCTAGAGCTGATCCGGCGATACAACCGTCATCAACAAATTTATTGACACACAAACTTGATCTAAACAATCATATTTCCCGTTTAAATTTTAGATTCCAGAATACTGATCATAATATAAAAAATTATGAGAGTTGGATAATGTTTAAACTATTACCTAGTATCCCAAACATAGACCTCGCCACCCTCTCCGTGCGTATACAGTTGAGCACCAGATTTAGAGAATTTTAATGCCTGGCATTCATCATTCATTTTTATACTCCGAATATACTCTTTCGTTCTAAATAAAGAAAACAAAAATTATTTCAAAAAGGTGATCCAATATTTATAATATCTTGATTATTTATTAAGGAAAGAAAAGAACAGTTTACAATAATTAAAGGTATTTCTGCGGAAAGAAAAAGAATTTCCGCGCGATTTTTTGATCAGTCAAAGGGTTGAAGGGTACTGTTGTAAATCGAAGATGCCACTTGACAAATGGAAGGTCATTTGAAATTACGTCTATTAAGGATAATACTATCACAAGTACACAAAATAATTATAAAGTTACCTAGCGGACACGAGATGTATGGAACCAAATCTTCCCTTGAACGCAATAATTTTCCCGTCAGGAGAAATATCGAACCTTTGGCTACTGAACTCCTCGATCTGCCTGGGAGACTTAATCTTGATCACCTTTCCTGCGATCATATCATACACATAGAAGTAGGTGTGGAACTGGGACCCGGCAATAACCTCGTTCCCGTCCACGGAAAATTTGGCCGTTTTGATGGGAAAATCTTTGAAGTTAATCGTCTGAATCTTGGGGTTGAATTTACCGTCAACTTGAAAGATTGATGCAGTACCAGATAAACCAGCTACTAGGCCAACAGTCGAGGTCGGATGGAATTCTGTGCTTCGAATTACTGTTCCCTCATTATAAGTTTCATTATTCATATCCTAAAATAATATGAGCTTGTGAAATTATATTAATGCTTTGATCCAAAAAAAACACGCACATTTTCAGAACTAACTTTTAAAATATATTTTAAGAGTCAATCAATCAATCAATCAATCAATCAGAGTTTTAGGGATGTCCTACTATCCCACCTATCAATCTCGAGATGAACTTGCTAAATCATGGGATATGGTCTTTCAGAGTAAAGAAATTTAAAAAATGCGTATTGCTCAATATCTCGAATAATACTACTTCCGGGGGAAAATGGGGGCATTATCTGAATCAACCAAACATCAAATGAAATGAATTGAAATAAAGTTTAATCAAATTAAGTCAAATTAAAATTAAGGAATTACTTGTTATTCATGACTTCGACTGTGCTTACCTTCAGTTTTCTAAATTCAATGATTTCACGTTTAAGATCTCCCACTCTTCCTTTATCTAAAAGGTCTGTAGTTTCCCTGAACATTTTTAAATTTCAAATGTTTAAATTTTCTTTTCATAGCACTGGATTTTGCATCCATTTTAACCATTCTTTCACCGGGGAAATAACAATATCGAAGCTACAAGTACGAGGGTCAAACATTTTTAAATTTAGTAAGTTCTTGAAAAGTGAAAAATGCTTATTTTCGGTTAGATATTTTCTTTTGGGTTTCACGAGTTACGAAGTGCTTTTTAAATTTTTTGTCTAAAATTCCTAGCACCTATGGTTAATTGGTGGAGTTTATATTATTAATAACAATAATGAGCTGATCTTATGAAATCATACTTCAACTATCAAGATACATTTCTCCCTCTTTGACTATAAGGCATTATATTTATACTAAGCACAAATACATTACAAATAAGTAGTAAGGTTAAGTACGAAAAAACATCACGAGCAACATTTTCAGATATTAAGATGAGAAAAAAATTACCTAAAAAACTCCTCGTCTGAGTCCTGCTCAGCATCCTGATCTAATTTAGCCCAGGACGGTTCTCCGACTAAACTTATAAACTTCCGCTCTACAGCCTTCCCATACTTTTCACTTGATTCGTCTTTAGATCCATGTTTTCCCAATCCTTTTCTAAAAGCAATCAACTTATAGATAGAAGCAATTATAATTCAAGCTTAAATTAAATCAAATCAAATCAGGGGCGGATACAGGGGGGCGGGGCGGGGGACATTCGCTCCCCCTGAATTTGGAATTTTTTGTTCCCTAGTGCAAAACAGGAAAAATATCTGTCTTAATAAACTATAATGTGTGAAAAGTTAAAAATCTAGTTTTTTTAGTCTTTAGTCATTAATTTTGACTCTTTTTGAGACTTTTAAGTCAAAAAAAATTTTCACCTGCGGCGCGATTTTTTGTTTCTAATAATGCATTTTTTGTTCCTAAAAAATCTTGCCCCCTCCTCATTTAAATCCTGTATCCGCCCCTGAATCAAATCATGAATGTTGGGGAAGCTTTAGGCTCCATTTCTCAACCTAGAGTTTCAATTCCGGAATGAGAAATGGTTTTTCAGCCCGGATATGAACTCAATTCTGACTTTTGCAATGTATCTAGTTAAAGGTTAAATTCCAATATTTGGTGACGAAATCCCAGCAACACGACCAAGTTTGAGCCATGCAACCATTTTTGGCACCCATTCATTCATGAAGGATCATCATTATGGTAAATATGAATGAAGCTTAAATAAAAAAAACCTCGTTAAAACGGACCAAGCTATATCTAATTTGCCTTTTAAGTTAAAAAATTCAACATTTTTTATTTCATTATGCTCAATAGAATAATAAATATCTTAAACGAAAATATTCTTACTTAAAATTTGCTGCTACGTCTTTGACAAGCACTTTTTCATCAGCATCATCCTTCCACGCAGCTTTACGCTTTTTCCCTCTTCTGGAAGAAAATTCGAATAAAATTTTTTGGTTCATGCCTATCTTTTCTTGGAGTAATTATACCATAACGTTTGTCACCACTTCAGGTATTGTTAAAGTGTTTTTTTACAACAAAAACCTGGTAGATTCAAATATACTTTTATGTGTAAGCAAAGATCATAAAAAAAGGATGATTTATTGGATAAAATTACTTGAATAAGAAAAAAAAATATTTTGTATATTGATTTTTCCATATACTCTAGAGACTTTGAAGACCAAAACGAAAAAAATTCAACTTTTCTTAACATTCCTGAGATAAAGGTTGTTGCCATAAATGTCTTCTGGAAGCTTTTCCGCGTCATTTTCCGTATCAGACTCGGAATCCGTGTTATCTGTGCCATCGATGTCTTCCTTATCCTCATTAACCTCAGAACCAGCCTCGGAGTCAACCTGAGCCTCGAATTCTTCTATTTCCACGTCTTCCTTGTCTTCATCTCCTACCTCATTATCAATATCCACGTCGTCCAAATCTTCTACGGACTCGTCTGAGCTCGTACCTTCCGAATCGTCGCTATCTGACTCTTCCGATGCTTCTTTGTCCTTTCCAACGTCTACTCCCTCGTCGGCACTTATGGCGCCAAACAGAAACTTGGAAAGATTCCTTAACAAAATAATTGTAATAAAACAGCCTTGAGTACACTCCAGAACTTGTTACCTCTCCATTTCCTTCTTTTTTCGTCTCTTCTCTGCGATAGCAGGATCTTCCTTACCCAGAACATTCTCAGGAGCTACTACTATAGTTTCTAGAACGCGAAATATAATCAATCAAAAACATCTTTATTATATTTTTGCTCGATGCTTTACATAATGGGTTAAAGCTTTATTGATGATATAAAACAAATAAAAAATTATCGTCAATATCAACGTCTTGGTTCGGTTCGGTAAATAATTTAAGATTCAGCAACTCGTCGCGTTCTTTACCTTTAATTTCGTCATCCGGATTAGTATCAATAAAGAACAGTGGTTGATCCATTCTTAATCTGAAATTTATTATCTAGATGATTTTTTTAATGACCAACCTTATCACTGGTTAATCAGATATAATTTCATTTAACTAAATATACTATAAGGAACTCATATTACTTGAAATAACATGTTTTATAGACATAATTCTTGACTAATAATATATAACAGATTAAGTTAAGGGAGTTCAATAAAAAATATGTAATTTTATCGTCTAAATATGCTAAATAGATTATCACGTGAACAAAATTGATTGACAAAAAGGCTAATAAATTAGAAATAAAGAGGAAAGATCTATATGAAGGAAATAGAATAATTCAAAAACAACGTTTTCACTCTTTGAATCACACAAAAACTAAGCATTACATAATTTTATGTAGTAAGTACTTTCCAAAGGTTATTTTTACTGTACAATTTATATTCGCATTGCTAGGGCTAATAGATTCGTTAAGAAACTCAAAAAAAAGAACTTATCCGTAAGAAAATAATTCCCTGAGAAAAATTCTTTTGATAAAGTACCAAACATCGGTAGAAATGTTATTTTATTTACATTCTACATAAACGTTGATTGAATTTGAGGAGATTATCACTAGACTCGGTGTGGTAGATCCCAGGACTGGTTGGAATCATCTTCACTCTTCTAAATCATTTTAAAATGTTATTATAAGAAAATATTTAGACAGCATTATAAAAATATGTGATTATTACTTAAAAGAAACTTTTTTTTAGCAAGGATTTAATTTTTAAAAATATTTCAACAAACCTGACTGTTATGTTGTCTCCAGATCACTGTCTGTATAGAAGAATCGGCCAAGGCAAGAGATGCAACCAAACCACTCGTCGACGATTCTATAACACTTAGTTATAGGCATGTTAGCGGGAAGCGGAAGTTTTTTAAAGGTATTATTCGCTGAATTGAAGAAAAAAAAATACATTTTTTGTGAAGCTATTGTTGTGTAGATTAATGTATTAAAAAATTATTCTACCATTTAAAACCACTTAGTTATTAAAGCTAAAAGAAAACTTAAAACGCAAAAGTTTTTTAATTGTCTGATTATCACAGGCCACTAAGACGTGATTTTATAAAGCTCTATAACTTACATAGATAGCAGACCACATTTTTAAGAGCTTCAAGCCTTGCCAACAATTATTGAATCGTTTGCAAGTTTTTTTCCCTTATACTTAGCACCTTAGTAAACTGTGCATAACTTTATCGTTTTAGTTCCTTAGAGTGATTGTAAGTATAAAATCAAAAAAAATCCCAGATTTTCTGTGGGCTTGCAATTTTATAATCGAATTTTTTTTTGCATCTTTGTAATAGATAACCTTTATACATCTGAAACAAACCTTAATACAATTATGTGTGACAAGGGAAACCAGATTTGCATGGAAACTAAAATTTCTATTTAAAATAAAAGAGCAACCATGTCCACTTAGAATTGTACAGCTTATTGCTAGGAAGATTACCATGGTTCTACCGACTTCCTGATTTCAAATCAGAGTCAAATCGGTCAAGGGGTCTATGAGTTATGATTTGACATACAAACATAAAGACACCCAATCTGAGATTACTAATTTATATATGTAGATTATAAACATATAAAAGGAATTACCAGATTGATATGTAGAGGAAAAAGAGGAAAAATTTATATATATATGTAGATTATAGACATTTAAAAGGAATTACCAGATTGATATGTAGAGGAAAAAGAGGAAAAATTTATATATATATGTAGATTATAAACATATAAAGGAATTACCAGATTGATATGTAGAGGAAAAAGAGGAAAAATGCGGCATCAATTGTCATTGAGCCCTTAAATAAATATTGTTCATATATGATATGATGGACACTTTTTCATGCTGTCCTTGTCCAGTGGACAATGTCAACATGTCCCCCCTAGTCCACTTTTTACCATGTTCACTTGTCCCCTAGTCCACTTTTAACCATGTTCACTTGTCCCCTAGTCCACTTTTAACCATGTTCACTTGTCCCCTAGTCCACTTTTAACCATGTTCACTTGTACCCATGTTCACATATCCCAATGTACCCACGTGACAAGTCATCTTGTCCAATTGTTCATGTGTCCACATGTCTCCTTGATCTGTTGTTTATAAATGCAAGTGTCCACATTATTTGTCCCTTTATCTCCAGTATCATTGTCCCTTTGTCACCTTGTCAACGTATCCACAATCCACATGTCCACTTGTCCACTTGTCCCATTGTCAACATATCCAAATGCCTACTTGTCCGCTTCCTTTTTCACATGTCCCACCTTCCACGTTTTCACATGTCCACAGAACCGTCCACTTGTCTAGTGTCAACACATCCACAACTCCACAAGGCCACATGGTCACACAGTCACACGTCCTTGTGTTACCTGACAAAGATGATAAGAAATCTTATTGACTGGTTGAAGTTCAGGAGAGGTTTCGGAAAATCCGCAAATCAGGAAGAATGATATAAGGCCTAAAAACACATGTTTCCACTTAACTTCTATCTGTTGCGTTTATAGGGAGAAAATAAAAAAATATTATGAAATATCAACTTTATTGCAACAAATTGAATTCTAAAACTGCAGGGTGTAATATATAAATGAGTAGTTTTACATTTAATTGAATTAACTAAGATTTGAGTTGAATAATGCAACTAGACTTGAATTTGTATGAACCCTGCAATCTTGGGTATAGGATGCATTTAACAATTTTCTCCTTATATACGCAACAGATAGAGGTAAAATTTGCAGCGATCAATATCGAATAAAATTTGATATCAGCCGTACCCCTGTTCAATTTTCGCGAACTCCCTTTAAATTATGGAATTAAACTAAGTGTTTTATAATGCCCTTGTCAAAATTTAAGCAGATGCCAATTTGGATTTAAAATAAGTTTCCCGCATTTCAAAATTCAATTAAAAGTAGATTTGACTTGATTAAAAGTTCGAGGATTTTCAAAATCTAATCTAACAAATTGTGTTTTCCAAAGTTTTCCAATTTATTTCAATTTCATTTCTGGAATCTAGAGATCTGTCAATAATAGTTCCATCAGCACTAAATCAGAATAAAACTTGTGGAATTGAATCACGTGTCAAAAAAAATGTCAATTAATATTTACAAAAAATAAATGATTATTATTAATTTCAAAGTAATTCCCATAAAATCCAATGAAAAATAAACCCTTGCCAATAAATATCGTTTTTTATCTAAAAATTATTTTTAAACATTTTTAAAAAGTTTTTAGTTAAGGCATGAATGAATTCAAGTACGTTTTGGTGGACAGTAACTTTACCAATTTTTTTTAAAAAATACTTGCAAATGATAGACAATCACATTAGACGACTTTTTATTAAAGATTTGACAGTTTTTTTTTCCAAATACAAGCTTATATGTATCCATGCTAATTAACAGCTTGATATAAATAAAAATTCAAATCAAAAATTTTCATTGTATTGATATAATCGCCTACCACTGTAGTGAAATTTTCAAAGAAAATAACAAAGTAAACGTTGGAAGTAAAAGATTTAAGACATAGATTGGATCACTGCACGTTTCCAAAACTAATTTCATGCAAGTAATATGAAAAACAAAAAATAATGAATATTGTACAAAAGTTTAAATTTAATATAATCGGGTCAATCCACTAAAATTCGTGGAATTGAACATGAGCAGAACAAATATTACGTTACTTATAGGAACTTCAAATACGTAGTAAATACATCTGAAGGGAACGGGATCTACAAGTATTCTGATCAATTGAATATTATTTCTAAAAGATGTAAAAATAAGATTTATCAAATTTATTTAAGATCTGAGTCTGTAGGTCAAATTCTCAATTAGATCGGATTTCCCTTGGTTTAAAATAGTTAAAAATCAAACTCCATGGCACATATTTTTTTAAACTATATCGTTATCTAGAAATTGTTATCTAAAAATTGTTATTTAGAAATCGTTATATAGATATCGTTATCCACCCACAAATTCTTAACTAGAAATCGTTATCTAGAAATTGTTATCTAGAAATTTTTATCTAGAAATCGTTATCTAGAAATCGTTATCTAGAAATCGTTAAGCATTTTTAGTTATAATATGAAATAACACAAGAATTGAAAACCCTTAAAGTGTGATAATTAAATACTTGAAATAAACTCTAATATTGCAGAAATAATTCTATTCTAATGAAAACAATTAGTGTTTAAAATAATTCCATGATTTAATTCACTTAAACCAATCTTTTGAATAAAATAATTTAGAATTCGAACTTCATAGTATTCTATCCATAAAGATCTATATTTTTCACAAGCAAATTATTATTACTGAAAGCCATGTTTAAACGAAATGATTTAAAATTTCTATATATATATATATATGTTAAACCTTCATGAAATTCTAAACAAATATATTTCCGCAATAAGAGGATGCAATGATGTTCTGAAAAATATAAAAAATATAAAATTAAATGATTAATGATATATATTAATTCTTCAAAAATCTTAATTTATGCGAATTTCTTTCGTATGTAATTACGCTGAATCAAACATTTATTTTAGGAAATTTCAATGAATCTTATGTTAAAATTGATAAATTGACAGATCGCTAGGTTCGGAGCAAACTTGGGGTTTCTTTGTCAGCAACAAGGAAGAAAACAACTAGATAGAAACATCAATTCGAAGATTTAAAAAGCAGCTGTGCAAAAATTGTGTACATACAATATCATTGAACATACAATTTCATTGTACATACAATATCTTTGTACATATAATATCATTGTACATACAATATCATTGTACATACAATATCTTTGTACATACAATATCATTGTGCATACAGACTCTCTTGAAATTAATAAAAGAGCTTTTCAAACTAGTCCTTAGCTAAAAAAATATGTATGCTCCACAATAATTATCCAATACTATAAAAAGTTAGTAAAGTTAATCTTGGAGAAATGTATCCAAACAGTATGGCAAATTGCAGTACACCTGTTGTGTAAAAATTGAGAACCAATACCTTATGTATCTTTCTGGGTTATAAAAAAAGGTAGTATTACCGTGACATAAGCTAAAATATTGAAAAGTATTACCGTGACATAAGCTAAAATATTGAAAAGTATTACCGTGACATAAGCTAAAATATTACCAAAAATCTACTTTAATATAAGTCCAAATACATCTTATACTTAAGATTATCTAAAATATGTCTTCTAAAGTATTAACAAGAATAAGTCTACTAAAGTATTATATCTTAGCATGAGGACCCAGCGTTGCCCAGGGTACTCAAAGTAACTCCCACCGTTTACCCACAATTGGTCTTTTGCTACGATTTTAACTATTTTTACACTCAACTTAGAAACTTAAATAACAAGCTAAGATAATTCCCGTGGGCCTCCCGAGTTCTCCAACCAAAATTCGAGGCAATCGTTCCAGGGGTTCCTGAGTTATGATCGGACAAAAAACAGAGATTACAACTTTACATATATAGATATATTGATTGAGTCTACAAAAACGTTACTAAAGTATTACCTAGAATAAGTCCACAAAATTATAACCTAAATAAAGTCTGCTAAAGTGTTACCTAAAATAAGTCTACTAAAGCATTACCTAAAATAAGTCTACTAAAATATTATAAGCCTACTAAAGTTTTTCTTAAAATAAGTCTACTTAAGTATTACCTAAAATAAGTCTACTAAAGTATTCCATAAAATAAGTCTACTAAACTATTACCTAAAGTAAGTAGACTGGTATTACCTAAAATAAGTTTACTAAAGTATTACCTAGAATAAGTCTACTGAAATATTACCTAGAATAAGTCTAATAAGATATTACATAGAACAAGTCTTTTAAAATATTACCTAGAATAAGTCTACTAAAGTATTACCTAGAATAAGCCTACTAAAATATTACCTAGAATAAGTCTACTAAAATATTACCTAAAATAAGTCTACTAAAATATTACCTAAAATAAGTCTACTAAAATATTACCTAAAATAAGTCTACTAAAATATTACCTAGAATAAGTCAACTAAAATATTATCTGAAATAAGTTTACTAAAGTATCACCTAGAATAAGTCTCCTAAAATATTACCTAGAATAAGCCTACTAAAGTATTACCTAGAATAAGTCTACTAAAGTATTACCTAAAATAAGTCTACTAAAGGGATGAAGTAAAGTCTCCCAAGTAGAAAGTGTGTTTCCTCGCAGACGTAGCGTTGATCGGATAAAGACGACATTCAAGCAGATTAAACCTAGAATAGAAGGGTTTGAGAGAAGACCTGAAGAATAAATTCAGTTCTCTTAGTATGGAATATCTAATCAGAAGAATTTTAATAAACGAGTTGAAATATAGATAAATTTCAGAGAGAGACCATTATTGATAAAACTGTGGAAAAGGTAAACTACATTTTTGCAATTTTTATTTGGTAAAGGTTAGTGTTTACTTTACAGTTTTAAGAACNCAACAGCCCTTATCAAAGGTGCAAGGGATAATAGTTGACTTACTTAAAGATTATCATGATTTAAGCCTTACTCCCACAAGTTTCTGACCACGGTCATAACATTTTATATTTTACTTTTTCATTATAATTTCCAGCCTTTGTCAGGGATTTAATTAACTTATATTAAACCTGGATTCCTGGACCGGTTAATGTGAGAGGAAGGGGCTGCAACACGACTGACCAGTTAAAGTGAGAGAGGGAGGGGGTGCAACACCACCAACCAATTCACGTGAGAGAGGGAGGGGGTGAAACACCACCAACCCCTTTACGTGAGAAAGGGAGGGGCTGCAAAACGACTGACCAGTTAACGTGAGAGCGGGAGGGGCTGCGAAACGACTGACCAGTTAACGTGAGAGTGGGAGGGGCTGCAAAACCACTGACCAGTTAAAGTGAGAGAGGGAGGGGGTGCAACACCACTGACCAGTTAATGTTAAAGAGGGAGGGGGTACAACACCACCGACCAGTTATTGTGAGATAGGGAGGGAGTGCAACACCACCGACTAGTTAAGTAACAGAGGAAGGGGATGAAACACCACCATGTGCCCAGCATATTACCATTCCAAACTGCAATTGCAATCTAAACTTGTCGTATCAACATCCCCATTCTGCATCTTGCAACTCCTCGCGGATGGGATGTTGAAAGGTAGGGTTAAGATTTTATTCTGGAAATCCAGCGGTTGTAATCTTTAAATGCTGGCTTTATGGCTGCTTTACACCCCCCCTTCTCTTTATGAAGTCAATTATTATTTGTAGGGATAACCATTTAAGAGATAGGACCATTTAAGGTGTAGAACCATTTTAGGGTTAATACAAATCAAGGATTTGAATCATTAAAAGGATCAAACCATTCAAGAGTTGAATCGTTCAAGGGGTTGAACCATTCAAGGGGTTGAGCCATTCAAGGGGTTGAACCATTCAAGGGTAAAAACAATTCAAGGGGTTGAACCATTCAAGGGGTAGAACCATTCAAGGGGTAGAACCATTCAAGGGTATAAACCATTCAAGGGGTTGAACCATTCAAGGGGTTGAACCATTCAAGGGGTTGAACTATTCAAGGGGTTGAACCATTCAAGGGGTTGAACCATGCAAGGGGTTGAACCATTCAAGGGGTAGAACCATTGAAGGGGTTGAACCATTCAAGGGTTGAACCATTCAAGGGGTACTGAAATTATTCAGGGGGTTACAGAAGTGTACAAACCTGTATATATAAGAGTATAGAATGCGAAGAGTACAGCTACTGATTTCCAATCTGGCAGTAAACTTCCACATAGGTTGGTAAGCAATGGCAAATTCTTTACGTCTTCTACACCCTCCTCTCCTACTTCAGGAACCTCCTAGCCAAAAACTATGTTTTTTTTTATTTGATGAATGGCTGTCAATCTTTTTTATTGGGGCTCCGGTGACATAAAGTAAATCAGAGGTCATTTTGAAAGCTCTGGGGTTCAAGGAAGCACTTTTTTCCATGTATATACTATTCTAAAAATGTATTCCTAAAAGTTGTAAATTAAATTTCATTTCCTGAATTCAAATTTTTTTTAGAAAAATAACTACTTCTGCCCTGATCTGTTACATTTTTTTTACGGTAATTAATGCGTCATTCCTAATTCCCCCTAATTCTTTCAAATATCTGTTATATTTTCTGTAAAGAATTTATTAATAAAGACTCAACTCATAGAAAAAAGAATTTCAGACTTTTTGCGATACTTTTGTGCTTATATTAAAACGAAGTAAATTCCAAAGACCGGAGTCTAAAGAAACTTTGATAGCTTCTAGGCTCCCTTTTAAATCTGTAAAAATATCCATACATAAAATTTTCACAAAGGGTGGTGCAGAACTTACGATATTGTATGTGTTCATGAAGCCTCTCGATGATGATACTTCAAATATGGGAATATATTTGCAAATTATTGAAAAACCTATTGTGTGATCACAGAAAAAAAATTGAAAATTTACAAAATTACTTTAAGAGAACTTTATTCAAAGAACTTTGCAAAAATTTGTTGCAAAACAATTACGAAATCCGCTACCATTTCATTTTGTATAATTGTAAAAACCAAGGAATACAGGGCTAGAAAAAGTTTGGCGGAGGACTGGACAGTGGACAGTTTGTGTAAAAGCATGGCTGTTGACCTCAAACAAAGTTTTTTGTAAAGCCAATAATGGTAAAGTTGATCAGACCAATTTTTGTTGTTCAAAAATTCGCAGGAGGGGAGGGGAGGGGGGGGGGCAGGAATAGGGTAATCTATATCTATAGTTATAATTTCTCTGTTTGTCTGTTATGTATGTCCGATCATAACTTATAAACCCCTGAGCCAATATGTCTAAAATTTGTATTGGGAAACTCGATAGAACAACTAAAATGTTGGTTTAGAGAGTCTAAGTTGAGTGAATCGACTTATAAGTTTCCCGGTAAAATCAACCAAGTGCGGGTAACCGGCGACAGTAACTATGAGTAACTTGGGCAACGCTGGGTTCCCAAGCTATTTGGTAATAAATTGGGAGAAACATTTAAACAAACATGGTTTTAAGTAAAAGCCAACAAAATTTAGAGTCCATAGCCTATTTGTGTAAACAGTTTAATCCAGAACTTCGGAGTCATCAAAAGAATTTATTTAATGTTCTCTTAAATATTTTCAATTTATACCTTAATCTTAGTAATTGTAAAAATTAATAAATAGTCAAGAAATATGTTTTAAAGAGCTCCATATAATTATTCAATTAAAAAAACTAAATATCTACAAAATTCCATTGTTTGCAGGTATAGACAATTTCATTTGATAAATTATTATAATGTTATGACTATTATTATGGCCATGGGTAATACATTGGTAGAAACAAGAAAACAAACGTCCTCTGTATAAATTTAAAAAGTTTTTATCTAAAATGTTTCTATAAAACTTCCCATAAAAGTACATAATATGTAAATCTTTGATTTTATCAAGAAAATAAATGCATTTTCTTCATTCAGCCATAAATAAAGTTTTTGCTAGTAAAAGACAAGTGCTGCATCTTTCTTTATCAGAAAAAGTCTAAAGGTACTGCTTGTAAATCACATATTGCATTTTATTGAAGGGATTTCAATTCTCAAGACACTTCCCATTTAAAGACGGGCTTGGTCCATGTCACAACGAGATTTTTCACTTTTTGCCAAGATATTTATATTTCAAATATGTCCTCCAAAGCAAAGCTAGGGATAAAAACAGCCAGGACAATAAAGTGGGGTTTTGAAAAAGTGGTTGGTTGAGGAAGAAAATTAATAGTCACTATTGTATGGTATTTTTCAAAAAAGTTCCAAATATTTTCTTTAAATCTTCCTTCAACATTTTGCCCCCCCCCCCACAAGACTGTATCAGTAAACAATTAAAAAAATTATTCCATTAAAATTTATTAGCAAAATGAAGCAATTTCTTTCTTTCAGAATTGATTTTTTAAGGTTTCGAATTTTCCAGGGTGAGTAAAAAATGTAAAAAACAAACGGTTTTTTTGAATTTTCGCATATCTAACCTTATTTTAAGTTTCCGACTTCATTAAAAATGTTGGAGGAATTAACAATGATACCTGTTTATTGTAATACGCCATTGATATTATCACCAGGAGGTAGGACACAGTGATCTAAATTAGATATATTTAGAGGTAGGACCCAGTGATCTAAATTGAATATATTTAGAGGTAGGACACAGTGATCTAAATTAGATATATTTAGAGGCAGGACACAGTCATCTAAATTATATATATTTGAGGTAGGACACAGTGATCTAAATTATATATATTTAGAGGTAGGACACAGTGATCTAAATTAAATATATTTAGAGGTAGGACACAGTAATCTAAATTGAATATATTTAGAGGTAGGACACAGTAATCTAAATTAAATATATTTAGAGGTAGGACACAGTAATCTAAATTAAATATATTTAGAGGTAGGACACAGTGATATAAATTCATTACATTTAGAGTTAAGAGTAGAACACAATTATAAAAGTTTAATTCATTTTAGAGATAGGGCACAATATTCATTAATTCATATATTATTTTAAAAAAAAATAAAACTCGAGTTATCTTTCTAGTACAGAGTTTTACAGCTCTATTGTTAATTACGAAGATTATTAATCAACGTTATTTTGTTTCACGATTTTTTGTCAAACCTGAATATTTTTTGGGTAAGTAAAAAATTGTAAATATTCTTTTAGTCTCAATATTAAAAAAAAAGTCGATTTGATTTACAAAAACTTTACCAAATAAAAATAAATTTGAAAAACGAACAAAGCAATTATTTAAAACATTCAATTTAATTGAAACAGTTAGTTTATTTAAATCGGAGTTATACGGAAGGTTAACAAACTGTGAATTTGCTCTTTGACAAAAACCACTTGATACTATGCTAGAACCCCTTCAGAACTGTTTCTTTCATATGTCTGCCCTGACAACGTTTATTTATTTCATAAAATATTTTCTATTATTGGGAAGGGGGAGAGGGAAGGGGGATCGGATTTACCTCGTAGCTTCCAAAAAGAAGAGAGACTGCCCATTCTAATCTTATATTTTTCGGTGCTTTAACTGTACAAAGCATAAATTCATAAATTTCCAAATATCTTAAAAGATGTTTGACTATAATGTTCATAAAGTTATTTCATTTAATACCGGGAAGTAGTTGAACTACGTGGACTTATTTGAACCACTTCTCTTAAACTTAAACTTAACTTAATTGAATTAAAAAGTTATCCAATAGATTATATATTTGGACGTTCAAGAGCTTATAACAAGATTGAACATAAAGATTAAGGAAAATGAAAAATGGAAGTAAATAATATAATGCGATGAAAATCTAAATTTAGAATTTAAGAATTTGGAAAGATACAAATTTTAATATTTCATAAAAAAAACTTAAAATAATGTAAATTAAATTTCTGAATTCCTGGAATATAATTTATATTCTCATCAGCAAACTCCTCCTCCAGAGCTCCATATCCTTCTCCACCCATAGCTTATTCCCTACAAGGACTTCAGTGAGAACCAGAAAACTGTGGAATTCTTGTCCTCTTCACTTTTCATTTAATCATGAAATGTCGCGGAGAATTTAAAGTTTCTAAAAAGTGCCCTTTTTATAGATACAGGGTGTCCCACGAAACATGACATTTGGTGAATAATTTAAAATGTCTTCTTCCATAATTACTTCAGTTGTTTAATACCAAAGAGAATTATAGGAAAATGTAATGGTAGTCATATTATAGTAAAATTTATATCAAAGCAAAATTTAATTAGTAAAAGATTTTATGGAACGAAAAATAATGCAAAAAGTCTTTAAAATCTATTACAGTATAGGGGAGAAGACATTCCAAATTATTTACCAACTGTCATGTTTCCTAGGTGTATATGCGACATTTCTTAAGTGAAAGGAAGAACAAAGACAAAATTCATTCCTCAGTTATAAATCTCACTGAACAGTGAACAGCTTATATTTGTTTCCATATTTTTTGGTATTTTCTATTGAATATATTGAAGGGGGTATAGGCTCAATGCGATAAAAAAACGCTTTAGATCGCTACTAATCTTACTTCTATCTGTTGCGTCTATAAGGAGAAAATTGTTAAAGACGTCTCATACTGAATAACTTAGCGTCCATACAAATTGAGAAAATTGCAACATACGACTTAAATTCAGACATTACAACCTATAGTCATCGATTATCTTTCGCCACATTTGTATATAGTGTATATTTTATAATATTTTTTTTTATTTCATTTTTTTAGAAAACGTTTTTAACGGATTTCGAAATATGTGAGTGGTGCGCGGCATTCTTAGATAGTTGCGCAAGCACCAAAAGAAATAATCAAATTCCAAAAAATTAATTAAAAAATATTATAAAATATAAATTATATACAAATGTGGCGAAAGATAATCGATGACTATAGGTTGTAAAATCTGAATGATTTGTTTGAAATTAAATTGATTTTGTTACGGTATAAGTCGTATGTTGCAATTTTCTCAATTTGTATGGACGTCTTAAACAATTTTCTCCTTATAGACGCAACAGATAGAAGTAAGATTAGTAGCGATCAAAAGCGCTTTTTTAACGCATTAAGCCTATACCCCCTTTCATTTTTCGCGAACACTTCCTTTAAATCCAAAACACCTTTTTTTATTCATCAAAAGAAAACTTTTTTTTGAATTTCAAAATTTAATTTAAAAAAATGAAATATTTTATTCGAAACGGTCATGTCAGGACTCACAAAAAAATATTTTCTTTCTGAAATTAATCAGAAAAAGTTAGTTGTAATCCCTGGTTTTTGGTTTTATATTATTAAAGAATATTGGGACTCAAATAGGTTCGCAGTAAGATTTCTATTCTACTGGAGACCACCGGAGGGATTTCATTTTTACTGGAGGGGTTTGAAAAGTCACTTTTTTCAATTGGAAACTTTACGCATGGTGATTTACAGTCCACTGGAGAAAATTCAGATATCTTCCCAGGGGGTTTAAAATTCCATTGGAGGGATTCAGAAATTCTTCCTGGTGGTTTATAATTCTACTGAATTTAAAAACCCCCCTGGAAAGATATCTGAAACCCTCCAGTGCAAATATAATCCCCCTGGAAAGATATCTGAATCCCTCCAGTGAAATGTAAATCACCCTGCGTAAAGTTTTAAATTGTAAAATTGCATTTTTTCAAACCACTCCAGTGAAAATGAATTCCCTCCGGTGGTCTCCAGGAGTCAAAATCTTACTACGAACTTCCGTGACTCGCTTATTGTACATAAATAGAACATCTATATTTACATAATTTTAATAATCTCAAAGCATATTTAAAAAAAATACTTTTTATCAAAACTGAAACAAAAATTGCCTCATTTCTAGTAAAAAGTTTTAAATACATGGATTGAAGTAAGCTACATTCCTTTGTTGAGAAGATTTACCATTTCAAGTCAAATATATACAACACACAAAATGTTTTCTCTGACAATTTCAAAGGAAATTTATCCGGAGAAAAATCGAAAGAATTCTAAACGAAAATTGAAAATTGTCTCTAGACAGTCAACAATATACATTTAATTATTATACGCATAAATACGCACAAATATATGTATTGAAATTTGCAAGCTTTTTATGTGATTAGTTAGTTTTTTTACACACTACATGCAGCTAGTATTGCTCCGAAAAAAACTGGACTTAAAGAATTTTAAGCAAAATATTCGGAGCCCATACAAAACATATCGTCACTAAACGTATTACCACAAAACTTATCACCACAAAACATATCTTTTCAAAACTTATCAGCGACAAAACTTATCATCACAAAACTTATCAAACTACAAAACTTATCAATCTACAAAACTTATCAATCTACAAAACTTATCAAAACAAAACTTATCAACTACAAAACTTATCAAACTACAACATGTATCAAACTCAAAACTTATCAATAAAATTCATGAATCTAAATTTTCAAATCATGGAAATGTTCCAACATTTTTTGAAAAATCATCGAAAAATTCGGTAAACTCTGTGTTTCCCAGCCCCTTTCTGGGCAGACATGGTTATGAAGGTCACAAAACGGAACGTTTAAAAAAGTTTAAAAAAATAAATTTTGTAGTTGTTTTAATAAGTTTTGAGTTTGATATGTTTTGTAGGTTGATAAGTTTTGTAGTTTGATAAGTTTTGTTTTGATAAGTTTTGTTGTTAGATAAGTTTTGTTTTAATAAGTTTTGTNTACTTAGGAGTGTCCGGGGAAGGGGGAGGGTAAAAAGAAGCCCCACCCCCATGCACAGACTCACTGAGGGGTGCAGTGGGGACTTTTTTATAAAACAAGCTTTACAAATTATATTTAACCTGTTATGAAGATTTCACTTCTTCTTGAAAATGAACATTTTTTTCTAAAAGACTAAAAAATAGTTTTTATCCATAAAATGCAATTTTTAATGTCTGCAGAAGTATATATGCATGCATTTCATCGCAAATGTAAAAATCCACAATTTCTTTCAAAGCACTTCTATTTCTTTAGAGTTTATATGTAACTGTCAGTACGTCACTGTACTCATATACTTCGTGCCACGGTGCCTGAAAACGCGTATCCAATAACCTTTAAAGGGTAAATATATCAGTAAACTCAAAATTTAAAATTCAAATCGTAAATACTTTTTTTCCTTGGGATATTCAATGTGAATTTACTAATAGGTAAAGTATGGAATATTTATCCCGATATGTACGCTAATTTACACAGGTAGTTGGATACGACTATATACATTCCCGGCTTGCACAGGTGAAACACACACATACACACACACATCTGACAGTCACATACAATATAAAAATACAGCTAGGTAATTTCCAAGAGAACGATTTTTGGACGCCTGCCCCCTTCCAACCCCTCCTTTCAATTTTATTCGTGCAATCTCATATATGTAATGCCATAGATATTATAGTTGGTAGTGGCCGCAGTGTTCGGCCGGCCCTCCTGTCCTAGCCGCAGTGCTCGGCCCAGGAATTGTTTTTAACCTAACTTAACCCTAAAATACCCTACTAGGTTGGATAAGCCCTGCTGTTTCAGTTCCTGTTGATCTGCTCCACCAACATGAAGCTCCAACTGTTCCATTCCTTTCAACACTAATAATCAATGTTATTTCATTTTTAACCGTTTAGATACTCCCAATTAAGGGTCAATATTTTTAAACTTTGCTTTTATTTCTCATTTCATGCTATTATTCAATAAAGTTACCGAATATCCCTTTTGTTCTTTTATTTGTGTCAGCAACCTTTCACTCTAATAAAATAATTAAAAATATTTAATAGTTATAACTTTGTAATTGTATGCTTTTTTATTAAAATCCATTATACAGCTGGCAGTAACGTTGAAGGATTATGGAACTGTTAAATGAACCCTATTTATTGATTTCCTATATCTATGCAACATAATTGTTTATCTTGAATAAATATATTATCAAACAGAATTCTAAGTTTAAACGTTAAAACTTCAACGGCATAGAAATAAGAGACTGACAATATTCTGCTTCGTTTTTCTAAGACTTAAAGGGACTGTTGGCAATTAATATATAGTCACCATCTGAACAAATAAATGGCCGGGATGTTGATTGGTTTAGGTGTCAGAAAATTATAAGACAGTTTCTGTAATCCCTTTTAGTGACATTTTAGACGACATTACATAAATTTTTCCCGTATGTCTTTTTTAATTACTATAAGTTGTAATGTTATAGAAAACGCAGTGATGTTCTAAATAAGCCGGAATAATATGAATTGATTGATAACGTCAAAGTCGTCTTTGAGCTTCAAAAAGTTTGCGGCATTAATTATATGTAACTTAATTTTAGCAATATTTTGATTTGAAAAATAATCACAGAATAGCCCTGATCCGGCAATTTCCAAAATATGGTCTGCCATTTTTTAATCTTTAAAATAACAGAGATATTAAAAATTTGTTTTTTTCAATTTATAAAATAAAACCATGAAAATGTATCTCATTCCGAACAAAATCTTGCACATCTCTGGTAATTATGAAAGCACACAAATGGCAGACCACATTTTGGAAATGGGATGACATGGGCTAAATTATGTGATATTTTGAATGCAGCAAACTACTTAGAACATCACTGTAGATATGTCTCAAAATACAAAATACATAGTATTTAATTTGTTTGTTATGATAAAATGGATGTGAGCTGAGTCAGATGAAGAAGACAGTATTGTAATGTAATATTTTCTCTCTGGAAACTAATTAACAGTTTTCAAAGATTGATAAAGGGAAAACAACTATGAGAAAAAATGGACAAAACTGTTAATTATGATTTTAAATATTCCAATGAATATTTTTTTTCGCATTCCGTTCATTGACAAAAAAAATTTAAAATCTGTTTTGCAAAAATTGTACAAATATTTCGCTTTATTCTGGAACTTTCGCATTTTTTGTCTCGCAAAATTTTTACATTTTTACAATTTTTTGCAAAATTCTTTCATATTTTGTTTTATTTTTCACAAAATTCCGTATTGTTTTTGCGGTATTTTGCATTAATTTTTTAAAGAATCAGTTAACAATTAATTTATGTTTTTATCATATACTTGATATTTAAAAGAAATTATATCTTTGACATTCAAAAGAAAATAGGGTCTGTAAATTAATAAATGCAGTAAACGCCTACTCCAAAACAATTTCTTGCACCAGTATCCATCCATGTATACCTCAGATTCTCTTGACTATCAATGTATCACACAGGACAGGATCCACACCGCTACAATCCAGTAATATATCAGCGCCAAAACCTCTGGGCGTGATCTCGTTTGCTATGTCAACCAGACAATAGTGATCTATTGATCGATGTCTTAAACAGGACACACTCCATCACGGCTACAATCCTGTGAATTATCAACGCCACTACCACTGGGTGCGATCTTGTTTGCTACGTCAACTTGACAATATCGATCTATAAGTCAAAATACAATTGCAACGCTCAATGTCAACCAGACAATAGCAATCAATTCATTTGTTGCATCAAACCCAAAATTACTCTCAACACTGTAATCAAAGTAGAGGTTCTGTATTGACTAAATTTATTTCTTCCGATTAGATTTGGATTGGATAATCGCAATACATGATTTACGTATTTACTAATATGCACATTTACACTGTGGGTCTCTATTTTTGCTACATACATAAATGGTATTAGTAATTCAGAACTGAATGAAAATTAATTCTGAAGATCATTTTTTTAAATCATTTATTTGGGTTTGTTTTGATCATGTTTGCTGATCAAGTGATGTCATTTTATTTGTTTTAAAACAATTTAAACAAATTTATCCACAAAGATTTTATGTTGAGCATAAAGGAGATTGCAAAGTTTTCTGTTTAAAATGTACAGGGTGTCCCAAAAATGTACAGGGTGTCCCAAAAAACATAGGAATTCAGTAATGAATTCTATATAGTCTTTGTTATGAATTAGCATTGTAATACCTAATTTCAAAAGCCGTAATATTATTACGTCTGCTAGAATTTATTTTGTGTAAAGATGTGTTTATAATGTCTTCGCAACATTAACAGTGAAGACGGACAAGTTTACTCTGCTTGTATACTCCAACCGTATGCAGTCAAAACATAAACAAACAAATTGTGAACATAGCAGATCAAATCCTTACAAATTACAGCTTTCTCCGGTAGGTATCACTACACTATACTAAATCAAAGAAATAATTGAAAAGACTTAATCGAATTCGTCACTGAATTCCCATGTTTATTGGGACACCCTGTAGAACATGATTCAAACTTTTCTCTTCAAATCTTTCTAGGGTTTTAAAGCTTTTATATTCTGTTTCCATAATTCTTCAATGAATTATCATGGTGATTTTTTTACAGATTGGACCGAATAGATTATCTAGAGCAATATGTGAGAACAGAGAAATGAACCAATTATGCACAACGTCATAATATTTAGATATAACAAGGAAAACAAAATTTTGTCACATTTGTTGACATGTTTTCCAAGATTAAATAAAAAAGTGTAAAACAGAAAATAAAGATCACATAAAATTAAACTTATTTTATTGTAAAAAATAAAAATATTCAAAAACTAAATTGCCACTTGAATCTATTTGTTTGAACAGTTTTTAAGATGTTTAAGCAAAACTTTTTTAAATGAGTGTTTAAACATTTATCATTCTTTGAAATACTTTTATTTTTATCATTAAGACAAATATTAACTGGTTTAAAGAGGTTGACATTTTACCTTGCTATATTATTATGGTGGTTAGCTAAAAATAAATTTGTAAAGTGCGATCTGAACCTATTACTTATCATCAAACTTGTCCTCACTACTTTTCTGCAAAAGCAGTGTGTCTCACTTAGGGTTTGCAGCGAAAAGGAAATTCATTTCGCAAAAAGTTTGCGAAAAATTTCGCTTCTTCTTGAAATTTTTCCTTCAATCTGTTTCTCGAAAAATACGAAATTTTGGCGAAGTAGAAAATAAGAAAATTTCGCAAAAAAATAATGCAAAAAAATCGCAAAAAAAGATACAGCGTAAAATGCGGAAACAAGCAAAAAATTTGCGAAAAACGAAAGCGAAAATTTAGCAAAAAAAAAGGAAGTTATGTGAAAAAACACGAAAATTTCGCAAAAAAAAACAGTATTTTTAATTTACTGGCTCATAGTCATGGGTGTATGTGGATGGACTGAAACTTAAAAATATAGCTAGATAAATCAAATTCTCTTCATCAAACATTTATTAAAGTTAAGGAAGAGAAATTATTTATATGACATGATAAAACTTCAAATATTGAGCTATCAGAGCAGAGAGTTTTTTGCGCAATTAATTGTTGCAGCTATAACACTTATGGTTTTTACGGAATTTATTTTTGCATTTCTCATTTTTGCAAAATTTCGCATTTTTTCGCTTTATTCATTTTCGTGAAAAAATTCAAAATTTGCAGTTTTTTCGCAAAACTTTCCTTTGATGCAAACCCTAGTCCCATTAAAGGAAAACTTTATTAAAAGAACATATTTGCTCAAATATAATCTATTCAATTTATATATAATTATTAAATTTCCTTGGTCTTTTAGGGACGGTAGAAGTAATTTCAAAAGACCCACCTTTTACAGAGTTGCATGTCAGATTCACAAGAACTCTTATAAAACCTGTGATCAAGGTTGGATCAATGAGAAATCTTTATTTTTCTTTGATTGTTTTCCATTGGGGTTTCTCTTAAGAATTGATTTCACAATTTGTTAAGACTTTTACAGATAGAAAAAGGACAATTTATCTTGCCCATTGTCCCTTAGATGGAGGTTTATAGAGCATTCAGCATATTTTGTGAATAAGACAAATTTACTTAATTTTACACCTTTCTTCCCTTTATTCTAAGCATAAGCCCTTAGAAGCACTTCCCTCTTACATATCAATAAGTACATATAAAAATATCCAAAGCTGTAAACAGTGAATGACTTCATATAGTATTAGCTTCTTTGACAATAAAAGATAAAACTCATAACAATAATTTCTATATATATTTACTTGCATATACAGATCTAATTGGATACTTTGTACAGATTGTAGACTACATTTTTATGTTAGTTATTAAATTACATCATGTTCAAATGGTTAAGCTGCCCTCACAGAATGAGAGTTTAAAGTTTTTTAACCAATTCATTAATTTTACCAGTAAATGACTTCATATAAGACAGTTACCAAATTCAAACTTTATAATGTTTCAATTTATTAATTCTACGTGTCTCATCCTTTGTGGTCAACCTTCAGTGGCTCAGCTTAAATCTTCGTTTTAACTCAAACTTGAGAAGATCCAATTCTCTTCTGGCCCCTGCCAGCACTACCCTGCATCATACAAATATTAAATGTGCAGTAAAACTCAGATCTTTAAAGACAGCAAAACAGTAGAATGTCACCTTAAAAATCATTCCGTAATTAATGCCGCTGCAGGTTATGTAAACAAAAGGATTCCTAAAACTATCATTTGTTTTTCCAGACTGTCAAAGATTTCTGCTCGCCGCTTCATACTACCATATGTTATTTACAACAAAATGTGTGAGTTACTGATCAGAGTTTTATTTTACAAGAACAAATCAAATCACTGTTTCCGACATTTCAAAAATGACTAAAGAAACTGAACACTACAAATCGGACTCTTTCAACATCTAATGGAATAAGAAACAATTGTATTATTGTGTTCAACAAATTGTAAATATAGATAAAGACACCATAGGTTCAGGTATGCTCTTTTCATTTTGGAAAGTTTGTATTGCTCTACCTATTTTCTGCAGCTCTTCTCGAGAGGTAAGGAAGGACCTCTGTCAGAGGTCCATAAGGCACTGACTTGTAGACCTAAATTGGAAAAAAGTGTACTTTAATTTTTTTGGCTATTTTAATTCTGTTCCTGCTGTGGGGTGGGTCAATTTGACCGCCCCCTATAGTTTTTTTTACAAAACTCAATAAAAATGGTCTGAGGCTGAGGCTGAGGCTGTTGACATTTTCTAACTTTTCTTAAATACTCATCGCACTCCCTTTAGGTCTAATACCGGGCTTTTATACTAACAAAGTCCTCAGGCACACTTCCTGAATGACTACTTTTTTGCGTAACAAACTAAATCTTTGTTTTGACCCACTTTCGGTTGTCAGATTTTGATAATTTTTAGCTTGTCTGAAAGCCTATGACATAAGGAAACGGATTGCACACATTTTGCAATCCGTTTCCGTATTTCAAAAGAAATTTGCACGTTTTTAGTTTTTCTTAATTACAAATTCGGTTTTTTTAAATTTTGCCAATTTTTTTACCTATTGGAAATGGCACACTGCGATTTAATGGTCTCACGCTCTCAAGCTTAAATTGTTGAGAATTTTGCCAATTACTTCTAAAAAACCAAAGCTAACAACAAGTGGTTTAAAGTTCTAAGATGTTCATGTAAAGGGCTACAGAATATCATAAGTGAGTTAGAGCGGTAAAATCTAAGCTTAGGGCGTTGCGCCACTTCAAAGTCAACCCTGTCTTAAACATTGATGAGACTGTTTATAAGCAGGCTGAATCTATGTGGGCATAGTCAAAGGCTTTTCAAAATTGTATATTTTATCCTTTTTGGAAATTTTTTTTGCAAACATTTGCAATACAAATTACAATTTTTTCGAACTTACAGGTTTTTTTTGGCAGATTCTAAAAGTAAAGCATAAAAGCTTTCCAATTGATGTATCATTTGTCATATTTGGACATCAAACATGGAAATTAGAGGGGGGCCCCCCCAGATCCTGGCTTTCAAGTACCCCAGCAGGGATAGGGTTAAATTAATAATGATGGTGCTTACTTTTTCATCCTCAACAAAATTATAAAGGAACTGAGTTTCTGCCACAAACTTAAGTCTTCTATCCCCTATAACTTTGCAAATTGATGTTATAAACCTTTGATATTTCAAGCTTAGATTATTTGATCTAACAAAATCCATAGTTTAAAATAACAATGGGTGAAGAAAATAAAGAAATTCAAAGATAAGAGTTTCAGCAAAAACTGAGTTCATTTGTCAAAAGTATCCGAATTGTTTTTTTTCTTTTGGTAAAATGATCATTTAAAATATTAACATTGACTTTGAGACTTTTTTTTTAAAAGTGCTCATTTCTTTTTTTACACAAAGTTTTAAAACAAATTCACAAGAGGTATTTGTAGATTTTGAATTTTACTGATTTCACCTTAAATCCAGCAACTGCAAGAGGAACTGAAATCTGATCTGCCATTCCGTAGATTTGACCAAAGACGACTTGATAAGACTCTGGCTTGATGCCAGATTGAAGAATTATACTAGCGGCATTCAGCGCACTTTTTTCATTATGGGTTCCCAGCACGATGTTACATCTGTCACCCACATTCCGAATATGCGAAATCATGAAATCAGCAACTCTTAAAAGTTAAAAGGTTCAAATTTAGTGATTGGTTTAAAGCTTTTAATTCTGATTTTCAAAATATTACAACAAAAACTTTTACCTGTCATACATTTTTCCAGTGTCATCGTAAGTGTCATTTATAGGATCTTGATATCCTCTCTGAGCTGCAAGCTTTCTTTCCTTCTCAAGGTATGCTCCTCGTACTAGCTTTGCTCCAAAGCATCTGAAAAAAGTATAAAAAATCGTTAGTTTTAGTATTCCTCCTATTCTCAGATTTAATGAGAAATAAACATCCAGAACCAAAATTCCTGGGATAAGATTTTACTTTATCATTAGCAACCCGGCACAAAAGAGAAGTGGTTGAACTGCATCCACGTTTTCATTTTTTTTAAAAACGATCGTTTCGTTATGAAAAACGACGATGAAAAATCGAAAACGAAATGATCCTTTTTAAAAACGATCGTTTTTTCATAAAGTTCTTTTTTTTAAAATGGTGGTTTTGTTAACGATCGTTAACAACGACCCTACGTTAACGATCATTGATAACGACCCTTTCTTTTAACGATTGTTAACAACGAACTTTCCTTAACGATCGTTAACGAAGAGAGGAATCCGACCTGAAGGGCATCTGTCCTATCATTGAGTAGTTTTTAAGAAAATATCAAAAAGTTTTAGCTCCCCCACAACTTTTTAACTTCATGTAAGACGACATTCAATAAAGTTGCATATAATTTTTGTTCAAAAACGATCATTTAAGGAAAGTTTTCAAAAACGATTAACAACCCTATCCACGCGGTACAACTTCTTGCTAATCATTGAATTTGGTTCCTGGAGAATCTTTTTTTCTACCTTTTCTGTTCTTCTACAATCTTCATTTCAGAGCTAATATTATCCATAGCAGCCTTTAAGTAGCACTGGTAAGTATTCCACACAATCGGACGTTCCTAAAGAGATTTTTTAAAACTTATTAAAATTATTAATATCAAAATTAACAAGTTCATTAAACCATTAACTCAGTTTATCAAGGTCTCAGACCTTAGGTAGGCATTTTGAATTTTAAAGAAAAAAAATGAATAATAAATGTCCCAGACTATTTTGTGATGAGTGGTTCCTAATTTTTCTCTACATGTAAGAACCAATCATAATACTAACAAGCTATTAGGAAACCCAAAATTTTCTCCTACAGTTTATCCGACTTCTGGTCTATCATAATCATTCCTTATTTATTATTTAACCAAGCTTTGTCTTAAACCAGATCTGTTATAGCTTCTCTTTATGACAAGTAATCTATTCACAATCACTGTTATTTTTCTACATACAGTGATAAAATAATCAACATGATAAAGTAAAAATGCCAAAAAATAAACAATGTGCATTAATATTCCTTGAATAATTCTGATAAAACAATAATATTAAAAAACATAAATTGAGATTTATATAATGTAAATCTAAACTGCATATACAACAAAAGTTTTAAATCTCTTTTACCTTATTAAAGGCAAGCATCATGCCCAAGGCCATCGCTGATATGCCTGGGTTCATGTATGTATATTCAGCATCCACTAGCAGACGTAGACCTTGATTTTTAGAGGTTAGGTTGAACTTATTGCATTTTAAATAAATTGACAACGTAATTTGCAAGGTGGTCAAAAAAAGTTAAAAACTACTGCCATGTCCTCGTTTCCCTTTTTAAAAATTATATCTATCTTTTGCATAGTTTTTTCTAAACAATGTTGTTATGGTAATTTGAGATGATTGAGCTAGTTTTGTTGACAAAAAAAAAACTTAAATTTCCACACCCTTAAAAAACAAAATGAATAGTTACCAAAACAACAAAAAACAGAAAAAAAAGAAAAACAAATGAATGCTTTTGAAAATAACTCTAACTGATTCCAATAAATGTAAAAGGTTTGAAAATGCCCAGCCCTTTGTCTTAGTTAAAAATACAATAACTCCAAGACTTCTGCTTTTTAAGATTTGAATCAGTTAATCTTGATACAATAAAACAAATTTTAAAGATTAAGGAAGCATAACCCCCATATTGATGACACTAGGGATGTAAAAAAATATCATAAAAAGAGGCATGAACTACTTTCGTTGATCAGTCAAGAATTGCACCTGTGTTTGACCCTTCTTCACCAAAAGCCTTTAAAAGAAGAATTCCTTTATTCAGTTGGGTGTTCTCAGCATCTGTCAACCAATCAAACCTAAATAATAGTTCCTTTATTCAGCTTCTGTCAATCAACCAAACAAGCAATAGTTCGTTTATTCAGCTTCTGTCAACCAACCAAACCAAAACAATAATTTTTTTATTCAGCTTCTGTCAACCAACAAACCCTAGAAAACAATGTCTTTATTCATCTTCTGTTAATCATGACCAACTCTAAACAATAATGTCTTTATTCAGCTTCTGTCTAACACTGAAATCCTTCAAGGGGGGTGCTATGGAAACGCCCCACCATGAAATTTTCTCAACAAGGAAATTCCTCAAAAAAAAGACTCAGAAAACTAGTTTAATATTGTCTTCTCTCATTTAAAAAAATTGATTTAAAAAAATTATTTATAGCATTAAATTATGATAGGGAAGGTTGCACGACAGACTCTGGAGGGGGCCCAAGCACTGCAGCTAGGACAGGCTTGGGGGACTGACCGCTGCGGCTAGAACAGGCTAGGAGGCCATGAGCTGCGGCTAGGACAGGCTAGGGGCCGAGCACTGGGTTCATGATTGTGAAAATTGTTAGAATATAGTCTTTCTAATTTTAAGTTGAGAGAGGAGAACTTTAAATAAGTTCTATGAGTTCGTTTTCTTGAGGCATTTCCGTGGTGAGACGTTTCTGTAGTGAGACGTTTCCATAGCATCTCCAATTCCTATTTTAGTTGAGTATTCTTAGCTTCTGTCAACCAACCAAACCTTACTATCAATTAAATACAATTTTTTAAATATTGAAAATGACCTTTAAAGGAACCATTTACTTAATTGGGAAATATTAGGGTAAACTAAATTAACAGCCTATTAAAGAGTGTTTAAGAAAAGGACCAGGTTAGAGTTGATTTACGGCCAGAAGTAAGAGCATTCATTCTTACAATAATCCGGCAGCTGTTCTCTTTGTTGAAGGATAAATAAAGGAACTGTTTCTGTATTTGCCTGGAAATAATGGGCCTCATTATGCTCCTAATAGGTGTTGGGTCAAATTGCCCTGAACCCTAAACTTGTAATGTGGTAACTAGCAGAGCGAATAAGAAATTTTAAGAGAAAATGCAAAAATTTCGCAAAAAAAATTCGGAATTTTAAAAAAATGCATGAAATTTTATCAAAAAAGACTAAATACAGCTTCAAATCCTTTGGTTTTCGCGAAAAAAATTTTTGCAAAATGCAAAATTTTCGATGAAATATTTTTCACCACAATTTTTTTCGCGAAATTTTGCATTGTTCTCTCATTTTTCGCTTCATTTATTTTCGCAAAAAAATGCGACATTTCGCAAAATATGAACGAAAATTTTCGCGAAAGGTTTGGTTCGCTGCAAACCCTAATATTAATAGTGTAATTTGTTTCGAAAACGGTAAAAGATAATGTCAATTCCTTTCACTTAGAACTAAGGGTGTCTTTTTGTCAGTCTAATTAGAAACCTGATAGGGGATCCAGACTCAATGCTGTCTCCTACATTTCTTGCTAACTCCCCTATATAGAATTTCATTTGTAATTTAAATTTTTTCAAGTGTACAATGCAAAATAAACGGTGTACAGGGTTATCCACAAAGAATGAAACTGAAATTGACTCTTTTACGTAAATGGCCGAAACTCTAAATCAGTCTTGAATATGAAATATTTCATGGTGCATCAAATGATTTTTATATTATTATTATACAGCTGCAGGAAATCATGAAGGGTAGAAAAAATGTTTGATAAATTGTGTACAGTCGTCTCTGAAGTCTTGTCCTTCCTGGTTAACCCTGGATAATATTACTTGGTACATTTAAATCTATTGCATGCACTTTGCAATATTATTTTATCTTCTTTCTTCTTATTAAAATATGCTTTTAAATGTTACAGTTTTATTGATGAAAAGAATTTTGCGATATTAAGTAACAATTAAACATTTAGTACGATCAAATTCTAAAGTTATTTTTGTAAAATTATCATTTTAATTTAGAAGGTATTGCAATTTTACATACCCATGCTAATTGTAGAGTTTTTAATGCTACTTGAAATTTTAGTTAAAAGATCTGCAGGCATTAAAGCAGTCACCTAAAGTAGCTAAATTAATCAAATTAAATTAAATTAATTAACTTTGTAATTTCTTCCTTTCAAACACAACCATGCTTAATTGACAACAGTACCCTATAAAAGTTACTGTGAAATAGCATGGTTTTAGAACCATGTAGCACAGATTGTAAGTAGTTCCGTTGATTTAACTTCTGTCGTTCTGATACGGATCCTGAGATGAGCTGGGATTGCAACTTTGCAAGTAGTTCTGTTTGTGACCATAGCAGCTCATTAGCTTATTGTATATAGCTATGGTTTGTACACTCTAGTTTCACCTGTCCATTAGGATTTTTATCCAATAAAACACAAGCGCGATTTTTTGACCAATAGCGATAGTGTGCTATCTATCTATCTTCAGCGATAAATGGCGCCAGTGAATTTATCTATCTATCTTCTTGTATCTAACTATCTTTCTTGCTATCGCTGCAGTAAACATGATTTCGGGACCCAAAAATGAC